TTACCATGTATTTAGATTTTTTATTTGTGGGCCCGCTATCAAATTGGTTCATATTGAGGTCAAAAGGGTCCAAAATTAAACTTTGTTTGATTTCATCAAAAATTGAATTATTGGGGTTCTTTGATATGCCAAATCTAACCGTGTTTTTAGATTTTTAATTTTGGGTCCCGTTTTTTAAATTTGTCTACATTAAGGTCCAAAGGGTCCAAAATTAAACTTAGTTTGATTTTAACAAAAATTGAATTCTTCGGGTACTTTGATATGCTGAATCTAAACATGTGTTTAGATTTTTGATTATGGGACCAGTTTTCAAGTTTGTCCAAGTTGGGGTCCAAAATTAAACTTTGTTTGATTTCAACAAAAATTGAATATATGGGGTTATTTGATATGCTGAATCTAACCATGTATTTTGATTTTGGACATTGGACCATAATAGGTAAATTAAAAAAATTGAAGTTCTTAGACCACATTCTTTCTGTGTCAGAAACCTATGCTGTGTCAAATATTTAATCACAATCCAAATTCGGAGCTGTATCAAGCTTGAATGTTGTGTCCATACTTGCCCCAACTGTTCAGGGTTCGACCTCTGCGGTCGTATCAAGCTGCGCCCAGCGAAGCATTTTATTAGTTCATGTTGCCTAGGGCCAGGTTGAGGTTTTATTTGGTCTAAGTTATTTGGACTATGTTTTAATATGGTTTGGTGTTTGTCAAGCATACTTTTTCAAAGATCTTAATTCTATGAAACCACTAAACCAGTTTTAAATACAACTTGAAATTTTTGACCCTAAGAGAATTAAATATTATAGTTTGTTACTTGTATTCCTGTACATCAACCCACATGGCTGTCATGGCTTAAAAAAGAAATTAATACATGTACAGGTATTGAGGTAATAATCAAATTTATTGAACACCGTAATACACATGTAGTTTCAAAAAATCTGATTTGGCATAAATGTTTAAAATGTAATTAAATGTACATACCCTCCATTTGCACCAAAATTATGAAGACAACTTCCAGCAGTTATTGTATTGTTAAATGTCAATTTTTACCAATTATTTAAATTTTATTACAAAGGTCTTAACCTCTGAAAAAGGTGAACCAATATTTTAAACCAAACTTATTATTGCGGTGGGGGCATTAAGTTTTACCCTTGTCCGTCTGTATGTACGTCCGTCTGTACGTCCCATAATTGGTTTCCATTCTTTAATGAGTTTGCCTCAACCAAATGTTATGAAACTTATACACAATGCTTATAACCACAATACACAGATCAAGTTTGAATTTTGGTGGCATCACTTTAACCGTTCTAGAGTTATGCCCCTTTATAAATGGAAAAATTGCAAAATGTTTAGTTTCCGTTCTCTAACTTAAGTTTGCCTCAACCAAATGTTATGAAACTTATACACAATGCTTATTTCCACAAAACACAGATCAAGATTGAATTTTGGTGGCGTCACTTTAACCGTTCTAGAGTTATGCCCTTTTATAAATGGAAAAATTGCAAAATTTTTAGTTTCCGTTCTCTAACTTTTTTAGCTCACCTGGCCCGAAAGGGCCAAGTGAGCTTTTCTCATCACTTGGCGTCTGTCGTCTGTCGTCGGCGTCGGCGTCGTTAGCTTTTTACAAAAATCTTCTTCTCTGAAACCACTGGCCCAAATTTAACCAAACTTGGCCACAATCATCATTAGGGTATCTTGTTTAAATAAAAATTCTGATGACCCCGCCAACCAACCAAAATGGCCGCCATGGCTAAAAATAGAACATAGGGGAAAAATGTAGATTTTGGCTTATATCTCTGAAACCAAAGCATTTAGAGTAAATCTGACATAGGGTAAAACTAATTATCAGGTCAAGATCTATCTGCCCTGAAATTTCCAGACAAATCTGACAACCTGTTGTTGGGTTGCTGCCCCTGAATTGGTAATTTTAAGGAAATTTTGCAGTTTTTGGTTATCTTGAATATTATTATAGATAGAGATAAACTGTAAACAGCAATAATGTTCAGCAAAGTAAGATCTACAAATAAGTTGTCATGACCAAAATTGTCAGTCGACCCCTTTAGGAGTTATTGCCCTTAATAGTCAATTTTTAACAATTTTTCGTAAATTTTTGTAATCTTTTACAAAAATCTTCTTCTCTGAAACTACTGAGACAAATTTAACCATACTTGGCCATAATCATTATTAGGGTATCTAGTTTAAAAAAATTGTCCGATGACTCCGCCTTCCAACCATCATGGCCAACTTAGTTAAAAATAGAACATAGGGGTAAAATGCAGTTTTTGGTTTATATCTCTGAAACTAAAGCATTTAGAGCAAATTTGACAAGGTGGCAAAAATGATAATCATATTTAGATTTATCTGCCCTGAAATTTTCAGACGAATCCGACAACCCGTTGTTGGGTTGCTGCCCCTGAGTTAGTAATTTTACAAAAATTTTGCAGTTTTTTGTTACTATCTTAATTAGATATCATTATAATATCTAATATCTAATACTATTAATTATGATTTTAACCTTATTTTACATGATTTCCAAAGCATCAGTAAATACAGGTGAGCGACACAGGCTCTTGAGAGCCTCTAGTTTTATGCCCCCACCGTAGAGGAGGGGTCATTAAGTTTTACCCTTGTCTGTACGTACGTTAGTCTGTCTGTATGTCCCAAAATTGGTTTCTGTTCTCTAACATTAGTTTGCCTCAACCAAATGTTATGAAACTTATCCACAATGCTTATTACCACAAAACACAGATTGAGTTTGAATTTTGGTGGCATCACTTTTACTGTTTGAGAGTTATGCCCCTTTACAAATGGAAAATTTGCAGAATTTTTAGTTTCCATTCTCTAACTTTAGTTTGCCTCAACCAAATGTTATGAAACTTGTTCATAATTTTATTACCACAAAACACAGATCAAGTTTGAATTTTGGTGTCATCACTTTTACCGTTCTAGAGTTATGCCCCGTTACATACAAAAAAATTGCTGATTTTTTTGTATCCCTTCACTAACTTGAGTTTGCCTCAACCAAATGCATATGAAACTTATCCACAATGTTTATTACCACAAAGCACGGATCAAGTTTGAATTTTGGTGGTGTCACTTGCACTGTTCTAAAGTTATGCCCCTTTACAAATGGAAAAATTGCTGAAATATTAGTTTTTGTTCTCTAACTTTAGTTTGCCTCAACCAAATATTATGAAACTGATGCACAATGCTAATTATCACAATACACAGATCAAGTTGGAATTTTGTTGGCGTCACTTTTACCGTTCTAGAGTTATGGCCCTTTACAAATCTCAAAATTTCTTAAATATTTGTTTCTGTTCTCTAACTTTAGTTTGCCTCAAACCAAATGTTATGAAACTTATGCACAATGCTAATTACCACAAAACACAGATAAAGATTGAATTTTGGTGGCGTCACTTCTACTGTTCTAGAGTTATGCCCCTTTACGTCAACTAAATGTTATTAAACTTATAAAAAATGCTTATTACCACAAAACTCAGATCAAGTTCAAATTTGGGTAGTGTCACTTTTACAGTTCTTGAGTTATGGCCCTTTATAACATTATATGCAATCGGGGGCATCATCTGTGTCCCATGGACACATTACCCTATTATTTGAATAATTATAAAACTTAAAGATGAATAAGAAAAAAATTGAATAAATTAAGTAAATTAAAAAAAAAAAAAAAAAAAATTGGTTAGTCTGAAAAATATTGCTAATTAATCAGATAAGCATGTAAAGCATCCTGGGAAATGTGCCAAGCTTGGTTAAACTAGTCAATACATTTTTTAAAGGCTATCTATATAAAAAAATATCTTGTGTAAAAGGTATTCTCACTCATTACCATTCTGGAGAAACAAGTTTTCCGTTTACTCAATAAATTGTTGTACATAATCACATTACCAAGGTATATGTTCAATTCATTCCAATTCAGTCTCACAAAATACAAAAATACCTGGGGTTTTGAACTACCGGGTAACCCTATTTTGTTTAAAAACTTATTTGTTGTCAGAATTCTATGATTTATTCTATACTGAAGCCATTGTAGCTTAGTGGTTTTTGTTATGACAAATGGTAATTGAATCTTTTTCCAGTTCTGATCTTCGTAACCTTATATTGCCTCCCATCTTTTTACTCCTGTAGGAACAGTGTTGGTTTTATGAAGCACAAAATAAATTTCTTTAGATCCCTTTTGGCTTTTGAGAATGGTCTTCATAACTGATGGAATGAAAGAAAATTTATAATCTCCCTTAATAATTTTTTTGAAATACTGGGTATTAGAAATTATGCTATTATATTAAATGATGTCTAAATCCATTTGTAAACATTTCTGAAACTGATACAAAAGTTCTTCTACAATATCATTTACCTGAAGGATACCTTTAATATGCCAGATTTTGAAAAACACTTATTTGTTGTCAGTTGGAAAAGATAATTCATCCAAATTGGACTGGAAAGAAAATATTCCCAGTCTTGTAAATTAATTTCTTCTTCATTTACCATTGCCAAGCACCCAGTACATCATTCTTTATGTGCCTGTCCCAAGCCAGGATCCTGCAAGAAGCTGCCCCTAGGTTACTGATTGTCATTAGTTCATGTCTGTCATATTTGTTTTTTGTATATTGTTTTGTTATAGATTAGGCCTTTTTCTCGTTTAAATTGTTTCACATTTTTCATTTTAGGACCTTCTATAGCCAAATATACAGTATGGGATTTTCTCATTGTTGAAGGCCATAAAGTGGCCTATAATTGCTGATATCCACTTCATTTGTATTCTGGTGGATAGTTGTCTCATTGGCAACCATCAACATCTCCTTATTTTTGTATTAACCATATATGTACATGTAGCTCCATAAAGGGATCCCTAAGTCTGCCTCTGTCATATATATTTATGTTGTATAAATCATGTTTACCAATCAGTGTTTTGGTTTATGCTTTTAAAATACTTCCCAGAGTACTTTAGATTGGAAATTACCGTAATTATTTTTTTTTTGCAGATAAACCAACAAAATGTAGGTATAGAGGTGAAGAATATGATGTCGGTAAACCATTCAAACCTGATCCTATAAATATACCATGTTATACCTGTGAATGTACACCAAATCTTAATTCAAATGGACAACTGGATGTATTCTGTCGCACAGAGACATGTGTTGCTTTAAACTGTAAAGAAGGAACACAAGAGGTCCGTTTGGATGGAGACTGCTGTCCTAGTTCATGTGAACGTAAGTAAAGATATATTGTTAAAACTCAGTAAAAAAGGTTACACATCTTTATAAATGAAAAGTTAAAAAGGGCAATAGCAACCACTATTGGCCAAGAATATAGAGGTTTGGAAAAATATAAAAAAAGGAAATATATAAATTTGACTTTTAAATGGCAATAGTAATGCTAAATTACAACATAACATTATTCAATAAATGAAAGTAAAAGGACTACATTTGCAATACACTGTGGATATTAACTTTAACAAATGTCACACTTAGCATGTATAGAAGTAAAAAAATATTTTATGAGAAGACATATTATACATACTTTCATTAAATAAAGTAATTTCTTATAAGCCCTTTCTTGCTGACTTTAGGATGGTTTATTTTCTCGATTTTTAAATTTTTTTGGTGTAAAAAAAGTTTGACATTTTGGCAACAATTCATATTCTGGTTATTTTTCTACTCATGAAAGTCTCACAAAAAAAAATTGCTTGCAAAATTAGTTGGTTTCCAGTAATTGATAATTCTTTTTTGCCATGTCAATTTGACAATATATGCATCAGTTAAGGGACTTCAGCCAATTTTGGCTTTTTTTAAAATGATGAAACCTTGACCATTTTTTGCCTATGACAGCGGAATAATTGTTGGGGATATTATTCCTATGAGACCATGTGTTCAAAGGTTTATGCTTAGTGAGATTCTATGCCATCTTGTGTATATCATCATTTTGATTTGACTTTTTTACAGGAGTTATTATACCTTACCATTTTTGGCTTATTATAGCATAATGACATTTTGGGACCTTACATATTCTCTCTACTTCCCGAAATTTTCAGACAATTTGATCACCTCTGTATAACTATATATAATAAATATGTTATTACTGGTATGCTAAAATTTTATGACAAACCCTAAATTCATGAAAAGACCACATTTTCATGGAAATGACAACAAATATGGGGTACGTATAATTGCAAAAACTTCAACCTGGGAGTAATGTGTGAAGTCTAATCTTGTGCCAATTTCAGTGTATTGTAGGCTGAGGGGGACATTTTGCATCAGTGTAGCAATCTTGTCATATAATGTCCCCATATTGCCCATAATATCTTCCTTTGACTCATAATTGACTTTGAACAGAGTCCTCAATCCAGAGGGTACAAATTCATGATTTGATCTTATATATGCAAAATATAAAAGTTATCACAACATTCTACTTATTCACACTCAATCTAGGAATAACATTATTAGTCAGATTATAGTAAGAGATAATTCAAAATATTAACCTAAGTAGGAAAATTCTTACTTGTAAGTCCCTAAGAAGGGAAATAATCATTACTTTATAAGTTAGCTTAAATAAATTTTGAAAATAACCGATACCCTTATGCTCAGTTTTCCACACTTTTTTTCTTCGTTCTTGATGATATTGATTTGATATTTGGTATATAGTTTTATCATGACAACTTATAGATCGAGTTTGAATTTTATTCCGGTCTTATGATTTAGTTCAGAGTTATGGTCCATAAAAAAAATCCATAACTAATGTTAGAGTACTATGTTAAACCATATATCTGTACAAAGGGAGATAACTCATTTTTTAAAAGACATTCTTTGGTAAATAAAGATAACTCATTTTTTAAAAGACATTCTTTGGTAAATTGTTTGAGGAATTTTGTGGCAGGATTATATGTTATTTTGTATAAGCTAATTTTCGGAATGCTACATGTATATATATATACATATATATATTTTATTAAGTGAAATCCTTTATAGATATACATTGTATTACATCATATCTAATTTTAGAGAACTATTAATCATATCTAATGTTAGAGTGTTATAGGTTTTCCACACTTTTTTTCATCAAGCTTGAAGATATTGATTGACAATTGGTATATAGTTTTATCATGACAAGTTACAGATCAAGTTAAAAATTTTTATTCAGTCTCATGAAAAAATTCACTCATATATTCAGTTTTCCACACTGTTGTTAGTCATGCTTGAAGAAATTGACTTGATATTTTCTTTTTGTTTACACCATAACAAGTTATAGAACAAGTTAGCAATTTGTTCCAATATAATGAATTTTTACCCGGTAGGGGACTATGTATTGCAATGCAATACTCTAAGAATGCTTGTTAAATATAGGTTTATATCATCAATGTCTCAGACAAGTTTGAAAATTGGTGTTATTAATTATTTTTAAAAGAGTTGTGTTTTTGAAATATTGATTATATGGAAAATTGCATTGTTGGGGTTCTCATGTGTACAATTCTTGCCAGAATTTTAAGAAACTTTTATCATAGGTTTATATCAGCAATGTCTTTGACACTTTAGAAAATAAGTGATCAAATATTTTTAAATAGTTATGCCCTTGGAAAAATTAATTATAACGGAAATCGCATTTCATTTGCTCTGAAGCATATTTATAAATTGTTTTAAAGAACCAAAAAAAACATTCTTTTTTTAGTTATTGCCCTTGTACTTTGGAAAGATAAAATATGTGCAAACTCAGGGGACATTGGAACTCTGTTCTTATATTTTTTGTATTTATAGCCATCTTGAAACATCCCAAGTTTCCAGCTGCTGTTGAACCTGGAAAGGTAAGTTGTAAATATATGTATAAATATGATAAATATGATAGATATGATAAATATAATAAATATGATAAATATGAGTATCCACCTAAATCATTATGCAGTACTTGAATCCAGATAAAAGATTTATTTGAATTTTTCCATTTTATGATTTCAAGAGACAATGTATTTAAAAGAAATCTTGGTCAATGTTTTTGAAAGATTTTTAACAGTGTTTATGAATAACAAAAGCATATGGTAAAAACAGTGTTTATGAATGATGCAATTTTATGTACAAAACAAAAGCACATGGTAAAAATGGCAGGAAAACGGCACAGGAGGGGGGGGGGGGGGGGGTTCTCAACATGAGTTTTTGGGTACAGATGGGCAGCCGGGATTTCAAAAACACCCCCCATTCATATATTGAAGTCTTGTGAAATCACGACCCATAAAAATATTTCATGGCAAAATCAGTACCCATTCATATATTCCTCAGATATCACATATTCATTTTTTGTGATCTTAACTTGATTTTAAACGATAAATCAAGATTTATACAAAAATCTAATCGAAAAATGAAAATTACTGACCCATTGACAAATTAACTTGGTGAAATCGCAACCCATTGATATATATGACGTATCAAAAAAGTGACCCATTCCAGCTGCACATATGTATATACTTTCATATAAGAAGAGACCCCCCCCCCATGGAAAACGGAAACAGAATAAAAATGTTGATGTTGAATATATATGTCTTTTTCTAAGCAACCAGTTTCTTCACCACCTCTTCTCACTCTTGTACAATTTCTAATTGGCTTTCTTAAAAAAGTAATACTTGAAAACATAACAAAATAGTTTTAAAAATAGTAATCCTGTGAGAATTCTATTGATGCTATATTGACCTTTGTCAGATGCCATATTGACCTTTGTCGCATGCTCTTTGTAACCATGTAATTCCTGTCATTTCTTTGATGACATAAACTGTACCTATTTTACTGTACCAGATGCGCATTTCGATAATTAATGTCTCTTTAGTGATGCTCAAGTCCAAAATATTTGAAAATCAAAAATTTATTCAAAAATTAAAAAGCTGATAAAACGAAAAAGTATAGCCAAAGCCGGCCCAGGAATCAGAGCTTTGCATGAGGGGGATATTAAATTTCAAATAATTTCCAAATTTTGTAACAACAAATTTCAATAACATAATATCCAACCAATTACCCCAAAAATACCTAATAGTGTCAAAAGACACAAATCTTCTGGTTTAAAGTCATTTTTATAATGGAAAACTTTGAACATGTCATTGGTGAAACTCAATATAACTTTCAGACTGAGCTGCTGGTTTTGAAATATCATTTTGTAGAGAAGGATCTGCTCACCCGAGAACATGAGATCACCCCCAGTTTTTGGTGGGCTCGTGTTACTCAGTCTTTGGTTTCCTATGTTGTGTTTTGTTTACTGTTGTTTGTCTTCTGATTGCTTTTTTGTTTTTTGCCATGGCATTGTCAGTTTTTTATTAACTTATGAGCTTGTCCCTTTGGTACCTTTCGCTTCTCTTCTATTGAAATTATAACTCTGAAAATGTAATGTTATTTTAGTATTTTTTTGTTTTGTTTTAAAGGTTATAATGGGGGATGAAAAATCAGGAGGAGGAGGAGGTAGGGTATTTCCTGGACCTGGCGGCAGTGCTGTAATGGTAAGTAAACTGTTGTAGGTTTCATTATTAAAATTGCATATTCCTTTAAAAACTTAAAACGAACAACAGGTGTTGTCAAACAACATTTAAGATTACAAAGCACCAACAACCAACTTTTGAATGAAAGAAAACTCAAAATAACAAATAATGAAATGTCAACATTATGGTAAGAGGCTTGACTTGGTTTAAGGCTCAAAATATGTATAAACCCTGCCAAACACCTAATTACGTAAAAGGGTTGGGTTATGACATGTTTTTTTGAACTAAACTTCTTTAAAGTAAACAGATTATGTGTGATAACTGACTCAACTTTGAACTTTTTATTTTTTCAGGGACCCCCTGGACCAAGAGGACCAGCTGGACCACCTGGACCAGCTGTAAGTTTATATTGATACATTACATTACATTGTGTAGATAAAGTTGTTGACATTGAAAGATAAATTGCAGATCTATATTAGTTTGTGACAAATGAAAGAAAAAATATTGGGAACTATTAATTATATATATTTCAATTTATATTTTCTATGAAGTGTAAGCTTGTTATAAATTTACTGTGGAGTTGAGAGAAGAAATAAAAATAATTGATAATTATTTATTGTTGTATTAATTTTTAGGGACCAGCAGGTTACCAAGGAGCAAGAGGGGAACCAGGAGACCCTGGACAACCTGTAAGTTTGTTTATGTTTACAATTTGCAAAAATGTTACAAAAATTTAATGCAAATAAAACAAGAATAATACATACACATTCTGCCAGGTAATTCTTGACAGTTAATCGACATTACAATCAATGAAACATGTTTAATCATAAAGTATTCATCCAATAAACTTATCATAGATAGCAGGATTAAAAAATTTGTACACCAGACAGGCGTAACGTCTACAAAAGACTCATTAGTGACGCTGCAATCAAAAAATAAATTACAAAGTTGAAGAGCATTGAGGACCCAAAATTCTGAAAGGTTTTAAAGAATCTTATTTCTGGGGTAGAAAATCCTTAGTACAATGTATTTTGAAAATTCAAAGTTTTTTAAACAGTTAATTTATAATTATGACCATAACAATGATAATTAATGACATCACAGATTAGTGCTGACTACCATATTTATATTCAATTCAAAGTAATATTTAAAGTTGATATTCAATAAACAAGCTCTAGGGAGCTTTTCAAATCTATTGAATAACAAAATATATACACACATACATAAGTCATGAAAACAACACAATTTTAAACATACAGTGCATGGTAAGATATATAGATGACATATAAAAGTTAAAAGCATAGTTTCAGTCATATTTTTGGAAACATGCATGCAAAATAAAGTATATTTTAAAACATAGCATAAGTAAGAATATTAGGCACAGCAGAAATAGCAAAAAAAAAAAAGTACAAATATTTGTCTTGGAGCAATGTTCTTACTGGTACTCTCAAATGTTCTCTTGCAATACTATGGATTCATTTATTTTCGTGGATTTAGGAAAAATTGTTTTTTTGTTGACATTTAAGTTCATGGTTTTGCCAAAGTCTGCATACAAGCCTACAAAAGAAAATATGTGCATTTATATTTGGGGTTCACCATTACCCACGCAAATTGATATCCCACAAACAAAATTAAATCCACAATTTTGAATGACAGAATTTTACTAAATTATTTTGAAACTCTAGCTTCATGTCAGTTTAAATCATTTCAAGTAATGTTTTAGCCTCACTATATAGCATTGTAATTGTATTTTATAACAATGTCTTTATACTATACAGGGATCACCAGGAGAAAGGGGATTTCCCGGCCCTTCAGGACTCCAAGGACCATCTGTAAGTTATTGTTCAATACATTTGCTTATTGATAATGCATCAAATTGGTGTTTATTGGTTCATGCAGTGAATCACAGATTAAGGAAAGAATTGCTGTATTTGTTTTACTTTGATTTAAAAATTTAGAAGAACAATGAGCTTGTCAGTTTATTAGTGCAGATCAATTAATTTTAAAAGAGTTATGCCCCTTGGACACATTCATTTTATATTGAAAATTGCATCGTAAGCGCTCTCATGTGTACAATTCTTGCCAGAATTTTATGAAACTTATATCATAGGTTTATATTAGCAATGTCTTGGATGAGTTCGAAAAATTAGTGCCAATCAATTATTTTTTAAAGAGTTATGCCTCTTGGAAACATTAATTATATTGAAAATTGCATCGTTAGCGGTCTCATATGTACAATTCTTGCCAAAATTTTATGAAACTTAAATCATAGGTTTATATTAGCAATGTCTTGGACAAATTTGAAAATTAGTTCTGATCAAATATTTTTAACAAGTTATGCCCCTTAGATATATAAATTATAATGGAACACATTGCATTTGCTCTGAAGCCTTCATTTCTCTTAAGATATTAATAAAAAGTTTGAAAGAACAAAAAAAAGTGTTTTTTTTAGTTATTGCCCTTGTACCTTGGATAGATAAAATATGTGCAGCGTGGGGGACATTGGAACTCTGTTCATTTATTTTTATTCATTTAAGTGGTTTTGTTTCTGAGAGCGATGTTTAATTTCATGGCTGCATATTATCGAATTCAAGTACTATAAGCAAAATAAAAATATTTGACATTCATAGAATGTAAGTAGTATGCTATACTTGATCTTCAGTTCTAAAACAATACAATATATTTTTTGCAGGGTGAAGAAGGTTTACCAGGAGAACAAGGACCCACTGGACCAGTTGGATCATCGGTAAGATGGCATTTCATTACTCTGAAAACAAAAATATTGTGTTTTTAAATCTGATTTAAAAAAAATTTAATCTATAACAATGGTATAAAATATTTGTAATTTCTTAATTAGTCAAACTGATCTAAAGACACAGCACATATTTAATAGAAAAGTAGTGTGAAAATAGTTATGAACTTAAACATAATATCACTGTCACAAATGCAAGACGTCATTTGTGTACAAGCTGACAGTACATGGCTCTTATGCTCTCAATAGGCAGGTGTTTACTGTCCCATGTCCTGTTGCTCTAATGCTCTTCCTGTCAGGAGCTGGATAATGAATTATATGGCAGAATTTTCCAATTTTATTTATTAATTTTAGGGAAATGCAGGACAACCAGGAATGCCCGGCATGCCAGGACCCAAAGGACACAGGGTAAGTTTAGCCCAGTCATATATGTGTTTAAGATTCAAAAAGGATAAATGTAAACGATCTTTAATTTGCTATGGTTAGATAACCACATAAGAAATACCCTGGTATGTTAAGTTTTATCCTGTTATAATTATGTAAAGAATGGATTCATATGTTTTTGGGTCCCTTTCATTTTTGAAATTTTCTGGTTTGTCATTCCTGAGTAATTGGACTTTTTACAGTCATAATTTACACAATACTTATAAGCCTTTTACAGTCATATTTTACACAATACTTATAAGCCTAAGAGTATCCTCATGCAAGTTTTGTCTACAGAGCCATTATATTTGATTCTGATTAAATGTCTTCTAAATTGCACAATTTATTTTAGCAACAATTTCAATATGCATGAAAAGGGTGTATCATTGTGCTTTTTGCGCAGCTGCTTATTATGATATAATTATTTCAGGGAATGATGGGAATGGCAGGAAAAAATGGTGAAGAAGGACGCTCAGGAGAAAAGGTAAGATCGCATTGAAATCTTTCATTATAGAGGTAGAGGGACTGGGCTATCTACAGTATAATTCAACAATTATTGGTGTAATAATTTTTTTTGAAAACCTTTCTATTTGAGAACATTATTTCAAAATTGTGCTTAGCTGTTATTAGTTCCAGCATACGGTCCATATACCAGATGAAAATGTGTTCAAGATTTTATTTGTTATTTTAAAATGTTTTACTATAGAACGATTTATCCTTGTTGTCAATTACTGCAAAATTGTCCAGACATTAATTTTGTCTGACCAAAAAACTTCATTTATCATTTATCAATTTGAAAAAAATCATGATTACTAAAATATGAAAGTAAAAATTTATTATTAGTTAATTGAAGTTTCTTCGTCAATAAGATATGGTTAGTCCGCTGGTTTTAACACTTAAACCCTTTGATTTTCTGGAAAAATAGCGAAAGTTATTAAATGTATTTATAAATTGTGAAGACAAATCTACAAAGTTCCTTAAACTGACTTTTTGTGCTACTTCAAATCATAAAAGAATATATTGTCCATAAGATAGATCAGACTAGAGAAATATAAAGTACAATTACAGTTCATGTCAAGAATTTGATATTGCAATATGTGAATTAATTAAAAAGGTCAGCGTACTGGTAAAAGAGGATTAAATTCTTATCTACAGACACAGGAATTTTGATGGAATTGGCCTATATCATGGTTCAGACATACTTAGGGATCATTATAGTAAATTAACCATGTAATGTTTAAAGACATGCACATCTAAAGATTTCATTCTTGGATAAGAAAGATCAGAAGATACTTTTTATAAGTGTCTGAAAAGTATAAATTCCATCTTAAGTTAAGAAGAAATATTTCTAAGATAATTCTGGTAAAAAGTTTTCACTTTTTTCCTCTCATCAAAACTACATGTTCACAATTTTGTCGATTTATGTATTAAAAAAACATAAAAGCAGGGAAATCATTAAAAAAAATGATAAACCCATTACATAATTTGTACTAATTTCCATGTAAACCCATTTTTTTGATCATATGAAAAAGAAAGTTACCACAAAATATGAATAGGGTACAAAGAAAGGCTTTATAGAGTTGGAAATCCAAAATCTAGAAATTTTCCATTTGACCTAAATGACTTCAAGTTCTCAAGAATTCTGCAGAAAACGAGATCCCAAATAAAAGTACAAGATTTAGAATTCAGTTGAAAAAAAAGGAAGAAATAGAGTCTGTAAAGGATATGAATAGTTAAGTGCCAAACTAGGTAGAAAGAACATGTTTCATGGTCAATAGAGAAGAAAATTCCTACTTATTTTATCACTACTTAATTTTATCAGGGACCACCAGGACCTAACGGACCTCCAGGAAATCCAGGACCATTGGGACCAAGAGGAGCACCAGGAGAAAGAGGAAGAGATGGATCCCCAGGAGCACAGGTAAACTCTGGGACATTGATAGTTTAATATTACCCTCTTCTCTTATGATGCAGGTACTAACACATAAATCCTTTTTATTTATTAATCTTCAATTAAAGTTCAAATTTCAGTGACACTTGAAGCAAAATAAGGCCATTTTCATATGTACTGTGTCCAAAAGTTTTGCAAGTAATGGCAATTATTTATACATGAATTTTAAGGCAGGGTCAAGCCCTTAGCTCACTTTCTACACAAAAAATTCTACAAAATCACAATGATCAAATGCATGTATTCAGATTGAAAAAGTGATATAGAATAACATGATGAAAGATTGCTTTTTATACGACCGCAAAAAATTTTTTGTGGTCGTATATTGGTATGACGTTGGCGTTGTCGTCGTCGTCGTTGTCCGGCATCGTCTTCGTCGTCTGAAGACACATTAGTTTTCACACTCTAACTTTAGTTTAAGTGAATGGATCTCAATGAAATTTTACCATAAGGTTCAATACCACAAAAGGAAGGTGGGGATTGATTTTGGGGGTTATGGTACCCACAGTTAAGGAATTAGGGGCCAAAAATAAGCATTTTTGTAACTTCCAGACATAACTTGTGTGTAAGTGTATGGATCTCTCTGACATTGTACCACAAGGTTCCACATCACAAAGGGAATGCTGGGATTGATTTTGGGGCTAATTGCCTCCAAATTTTAGGAATTAGGGGCCAAAAAGGGGCAAAAAACAAGCATTTTTCTATTTTCATGACAATAACTTGTGTGTAAGTGTATGGATCTCTCTGACATTGTATCACAAGGTTCCATATAACAAAGGGAATGCTGGGATTGATTTTGGGGGTAATTGCCTCCAAATTTTAGGAATTAGGAGCCAAAAAGGGGCAAAAAACAAGCATTTTTCTAGTTTCATGACAATAACTTGTGTGTAAGTGTATGGATCTTTAGGAAATTGTACTACAAGGTTCCATATCACAAAGGGAAAGCTGGAATTGAGTTCGGGGGTAATTGCCCGAAAAGTTTAGGAATAAGGGGCCAAAAAGGGGCCAAAAATAAGCATTTTTCTAGTTTCCAGACAATAACTAGTGTTCAAATGTATGGATCTCTCTGAAATTGTACTGCAAGGTACCATACCACAAAGGGAAGGCTGGGATTGATTTTGGGGGTAATTCCCTCAAAATTTTAGTAATTAGGGGCCATAAAAAGGCAAACAAACAAGCATTTTTCTAGTTTCAGGACAATAACTTGTGTGTAAGTGTATGGATCTTTATGAAATTGTACTGCAAGGTTCCATATCACAAAGGGAAAGCTGGGTCTGAGTTTGGGGGTAATTGCCCTAAACGTTTTGGAATTTGGGGCCAAAAAGGGGCCAAAAAGTGGCCAAAAAACAAGCATTTTTCTAGTTTCCAGACAATAACTTGTGTTCAAGTGTATGGATCTCTCTGAAATTGTACTGCAAGGTACCATACCACAAAGGGAAAGCTGGGATTGAGTTTGGGGGTGATGAATCATAAGGGGGTTCAAAAAATTGGGGGGGATTTTTTTTTCATTTTTTTTCTTTAAAATTTTCCATTTTAAATTGGTTATTTCTGATTTATATATAAAAGCAAATAATAATGATATGGTTTGAATAGGTAAATTAAAAATTTTTAAGTTCTTAGACCACTTTCATTCTGTGTGAGAAACCTATGCTGTGTCAAATATTTAATTACAATCCAAATTCAGTGCTGTATCAAGCTTGAATGTTGTGTCCATACTTGCCCCAACTGTTCAGGGTTCGACCTCTGCGGTCGTATCAAGCTGCGCCCCATTTTATTTACCAGTTGTGTAGATTTATTTTGCATATACATGTTTCCTTTATTTAGGGAATGAGAGGACAGGATGGTAATTCTGGAGAATCTGGACCACCTGGATCAATTGGATCCCCTGGAGCACCAGGTTTCCCTGGCAGTGGTGGACCAAAGGTATGTTGAAATTATTTGAAAAGCATTAGAAAATATAAATAACATATTGATATTTGATCAAAATAAATGAAAAGATATTTATTATGTACATGTGATGGGATTGCTTCCCTTTAGTACTTGTGGTAGATACTTAGCCACCAGCCGTAAGCGATTGAGCTAGGGAAGTACTTCTTTAGCTCAGTCAGTTAGAGCGCTGCCTTGTAGCACAGAGGTCCTGGGTTCGAGTCTCGGAGGTGACAAAGTCATTTTGTACGAAGAAGCATTCTCTCCGGTTACATACATACGTAAAGTTTTACTAAGACTTATCTCTAGAATTATTTATATGTAATTTATAACCAAGTCCTATCTCTATAATTACTTATATATAAAGTATCACTGAGTTTTTTCTCTATAATTACATATATAACGTGTGATTTATCTTGTTACAGGGAGATTCCGGACAATCTGGACAAAGAGGAGACCAAGGATTACAAGGACCTCCAGGAGTAGGTGGCTTACCCGGACAACCAGGAGAATCTGGACGACCAGGATCCCCAGGCCGTGATGGAGAACCAGGAGGAAAGGGGGATGTAGTAAGTTTCACAATTCCTCCATATCAGAATCTGTAGCACTATTGATAAATCCATTGCTTTGAAAACTGTTAGCTAATAATGATGTGGTGTACACGTTTAAGATTCTGAAGAAAAATTAGAAATAGCCTTCTATAGTTTAATGCTTCAGGATAGTCTATAAAATAAAAGTAACAAATAAGTTGGTATCCATAAGAAAGATACCAAGAGAAACTGTTTCAGCAGATTAGTAAAGTCAAGCAGAGTACAAATATAACTGATTTTTTAAGACACCAAGCACATCTGTCTTTATCCTTAAATTGTTTTTGGTAAAATTTATGCTTTAACATTTTGTACTGAACAAAAACTGGCAAATTTGCATAGAGACAGAAAATAGAGCAGTCCATAAGACATGAAAAGTAAGAATTGATTTATCTTTTTACATCTCACTTACATTTTAATGCCCACAACAGGTAGTATAACTAGAGATTACCTGATTTTTGTAGGGTCAGGCCGGAGCCCCTGGAAATTCTGGATTCCCTGGACCACAAGGACCCCCTGGTCAGTCTGGAGAACCAGGAACACCTGGAGCTGCTGGAGAACAAGTAAGATACAATAAGTAACAAAATTTTATTCTCTTCATTTCATGTTGAAAATTGATAATAAAGTCTTCATTTTATGTTGAAAATGTTTTAATAAAATCTTCATTTTATGTTGAAAAATTAATAAAAAAGAAAAAATAATGGTGAAGTATGCAATAAACACATTGGTTCAACAACAAGGGTCCGGAAACGGTCATATATGCCAGACATGACCGATTTGGAAACTGAAAAGACCGAAATGATTTATTGGGATTTAGGTCTTATTTTTTTTTTTTTACAGAAATAATTTCGGTCATTTCATTGAGATCAGGGTTTTATCGGTCGCCATTTTGAACTTATTTTTGTTTTCAGGTCATCAAGAAAAATAGATTTGTTTGAGACAAAATAAAAATTTTATTGATTTGTGTTAGTGATTTAATAATATTTATCATTAGTCTGTTGTTTATTCTATAATGTAAGTAAAAACAATGTACAGGACTCTGTCGAGTCACAGCGTGGGGTAAGTCTGGGTTCAAGCCACTAGGTTTGTTTACATAGTAAGGATAGTAATCAATGTCCAGGAAGTTTGAATTCGGCTTGGGTGTCGTTATTGTCTTGATTAAAGCCATAAAGGCCATGTACACAAATCTCACCTGTAAACACCTGTTAAGCAATAAAAACAATATGGCGATTTGCTGTGCATCAAATTTAACGTTTTAACCATTCTGACCTAGATTTTCCCAAACAGATATTATTTTATTCATTAAAGAAGACAAATAACACTGTTGACCCGAGAATCTGTCTATTTTTATCCAAATAAAACATATAATCCATTTATAATCGATCAGCTGATTTGGTCAACGTTTGTTAAATATAGATTTATGTTTACTGAGTTTGCGCATGGAAAATGGGGATCAACATGGGTTAATTGATAATCTTATTTGAAAGATCGATTTTACTGTTAACTTTTCGGTAGGAAATGGCAGATAAAGATATTAATAGATTTGCAAAAGTGGTAAAGCGTATAATTTATAGGAATGCAGAATTAAAAAAAAATGTTTAAAAAGGGAATTAAAACTAAATAACGTAATTTAGATTTGAAGCCATACAGCCTATTTAAGAAATATACTCAGCGAATGAACAAACTCGATTTTTTTTTGTTTTTTTTGCACTTCCGATTTTTTGAAACCATCTTACTCACAGAATGTAATGGGCGTTATCCTTTCTTTTGTTTTCCTGGCTAAACTTCCGATTTTTACCCAAGTGAAGCCATACATTCTCTCTGTAAAGACCAACAGAATTCATGGTTTCCCCTTTTTGATCCTCATATCGTAAACCAGGTGAATACACATTATCTTGTTGTGTATTAGGTAATCACTTACACTCATCCAAACAGCAGCAATTTGAACAATACAAACGATATCTTGTACATGCAATAAGAAGCTCAACACAGTTTATTAATTGGTTTACATAACTTTATTTCAAAATGATGAAACATGCCGTATTTTATTCCTCTTTTAATTTATGCAAATTTAAAGGGTTATGCATACGACCTCAGTGATGCAATACACAACAACAAAACGTCTCCTCGTGTAGTTTCTAACTCAGAGACATCACTGTTACTGTTAGATCAAGGTACAGTTACACTTGTTTGACCCAATACTTCACAAAAAAGGACTTTACTTGTCCATGTGCAAGACTTGTCACCCTCAGAAAAATGCATTATTGTGCATCACGATATTATTACATCACAAAAAAAAAATGACCGAAATGACTTGGGAAAATTTCCGGATCCTTGTTCAACAATTAAACTATAAATAACTAGACATCAGTCAAATTTCACTTGTTTAACTAGTATGCATCTAAATAAATTTATAATAGATTATTAAGTTCATAAAAAAATTGTTTAATATGATGAAATTTAAAAGGTTTATGAGTAAATAAATCAGAAGAACCATATAAGTATGAAGTCTGTGCATGTGCACAGGTGTGAAATTTAATTATGCATCATCTGGCAACAGTATATCTAACGGGAAATGAATCTGATAGGCTTTTCAGTATAAAATTGATAAAATCCCGAACTTTACGAGCCTTCGCAAAATTTATGGATTTTGGACGCGTTTGACTGAAAAACTAACGGAACTGCTGAATATATTAACCACATACTTCCAAACGTTCAACAAATACAAGTTTTATCATAAAGTAGATATATTTTGTCATATAAATGACCAATATAAGCATGATTTATTTGATATGAAGTGTTTTATAATGGTTTTGTGAAATTCGTTGTTACTGGGAATGACATCGGCGCCATGTTTTTATTACCCCGTTTGCATTCTGTACCCTTCTGTGATGAAATGAATACCATTATGACAAATTTGAAGTGACAGATTACAAGTTCAATACACTGGCATCACTTATTAATTAGTTTGAATGACATTTTATTGATATTATCAAAAATTATTAAGATAATAGTGAGTACGTATTTTACACATGTCCGTTTCCATATCGTGTCATTTATTAACTATGACTCGACAATAAAATCGGCTATAATTAGGTAGTGTCAATTCCCATCAATATATATGTTCCTGGCATCAATAGCTTTCAAGATGATGAAAAATAAAATTTCAGATAATTTATTTCATTTATCAGATGTTCATTTCCAGTAATTACTCGAAGAAATAAGGGCGTGCAGGGATCTACTTAAACTCAATGATGCTTCAACTTCTATAGTTTCTGGCCAGCTCAATTATCTTTTATTGAGCCCTGGTCAAAAATAATATTTTATTTCTTTAAAATCTTTACATGATAAATTGTTATTTACATCATTTTGATACCTGTACATAAATGTTTTAATTACTTCTTAGGGGTTAGCTGGACAAGATGGACGTAATGGAGATCCCGGAGAAAGAGGCTACCCTGGTGCCCCAGGTGATCCTGGTCTTTCAGGGCTAGCTGGAGCAGAGGGAAAGAGGGTATGTTAAAAAAATTAACGTTCATGTGGTGCATATGAACCTTTGGACTATCCATTAATCATTTTTTTTTCAGAAAATTCTTTAAATTATTTTACGAAGTTTTAATCTCTGCTAAAAATATACCCAGACCAACTACTAAATATATCATACATTTTGGTGAATTTTAATGCAGTTACAAGATTTGTTGTTTAAAAAACATGTATATAGCCTACTAACTTTCAGTTGTGGCAATTTTTATACGCCCGTTTACGGGACGTATTATGGTATACCGTTGACCGTCTGTCCGTCCGTCCGTCGTCAACATGTCGGACATTAACTCAAAAACGCTTTAACCAATATGCATGAAACTTTGGTGAATTGTTTATATCTATTGACATGAGCTCCCTTTCGTTTTTTATAAATTTTGGATTTACTGTTTCTGAATTTTTGAGTTTTATTCATTAAAAAAGGTGGGATCTTCCAGTTTTCAGACAATAACTCAAAAACAATTTCACCAATTTGCAAGAAACTTTGGTGAATTGTTTAATTCTATCGACATGAGCTCCCTTTTGATTTTTATAAATGTTAGACTATAAGTTTCTGATTTATGGGGTTTTATTCATTATAAAAAGGGGGATTTTCCAGTTTTCAACAAATTAATAACTCAAAAATGCTTTCAGCATTTTTTATGAAACCTTGGTAAATTGTTGATATCTATTGTTGTAAGCTCTCTTTTGATTTTTATAAATTTTAGATTTTACGTTTCCGAGTTATAAGATTTTATTCATAAAAAAAGGGGTGATTTTCAAGTTTTTGGACAATATCCTTAAAGTGCTTAGAGCAGTTTTCATTAAACTTTGATGACTGATTTATATCTATTAAGATAACCTCCCTTTAGTTTTTTTTATAAATTTCTGATATAACATTGAGAAGTTATTGAACTTTATTTGTTTATAGTCTGACAACAGATTTACTAAGTATTGCGCAACAGCACAGTGTATTGCACAACAGCAGGAAATCTCGAATTGAATATAAATTCAATTCATATAACCAATTTCAAGTTCTTTGACTACATTTATTCAGAAACCTATAATATGTCAAATATTTAATTACAATCCAAATTCAGACCTGTATCAAGCTTGAATATTGTGTCCATTTTTGCCCCAACTGTTCAGAGTTGGATCTCTGCGGGCGTATCCAGCTGCGCTCAGTGAAGCAGTTTATTATTGTTGACACAAAGACTGTAGAAACAAACACCAAAACTTTTTTTTGTATGAAACAATCACATCTTCATTTGAAATAAATCAAAAACTAAAATACATATTGTTTTATTTAGGGTGCCCCAGGAATCCCAGGACCAACAGGACCTGCTGGTGTAACAGGAGAAAGAGTGAGTATAATACAATAGGTTTTCACCAAAAAAAATTACAAATAAATGAACCAGAAGTTTTAAAGGATTTTTAACCTTTTCTAATAAATAAATATACCTGATGGTGTATTTTAGCATGCTGATTAGTATTTGTTTTTAGTGGGGTTCACATTACATTTGCATCAACTTGTCCTGCCCTTCACAAGATTTGTGACCAGGATTTATCATAGAAGTCACATGACTAGTTTTCACCAAGTTGACTTTCAAAAAGCTAGTAAAAGAACAAATTTTTGTTTTGATCCTGAAAAGAGGCCATGACAATCAGACAAATCTAATCTGATTCCTAGAGTTTGATGATATCTGAAAAATTGTTTGTTGGCACAGTTTGAGGCTTTTATTCAGCTTCTTCACTCAACACACTTGCAAAAAAACTACATTTTAAGACTCTGAGCTGATAATGAACAACATTATTATTCTGAATAATGAATGTGATAACTGGTACATATCATGTTATGTGTGAACCATGGTGACTAAAAAATAAAGTTAAAGAGTATACTGCATTGAAATGAAATTATTTTCCTTGCAAGCTCATACTGTACTGGTCCAGTACCAGTTACAATCAGTTTTTCTGAAATATTGATTAACAGAAACTCATTTTTTAAATTTTCTTGTAAGGGTTACCAAAAGTCAGGTTTAGCACCTTAGACTTGGACTTAAAATCCTCTGAAAAAAAAGATAACAGTTACAAAGTTTTTGTAGGTGACACTTATAATATTGGTAATATATTTTGTAGGGATCACCTGGACCATCTGGTGGCCCTGGACCACAAGGACCCCCAGGCGCAAGAGGACGTGATGGAGAACGTGGACAAGAGGGAGAGAAAGGATCACCTGGAGACGTTGTAAGATGATAATTCATTTATTGATTTTCATGAAGCTGTGATATCTTTAGTTTTAATTTTAGCAGACTATCCGTCTATATGTTGCTTTTTCCATCTTGAATATTCAGTCCTTCAATGTTAGAACTGCATTAGGCCAAAAAAAAAAAAAATGTGTGTTTACGGTCACCTGACTGACCCTCATTTTATCGCTGCGACCCTAACTTTTTTATCGGCAATTTCCGGAAATTGCAGAAATTCCTGCCTTTTCCGTCAAGGATACGGGTATTTAACGTATTTAACAACAATGGTAGCCTCCAGTGCCAGAAAACTAGCTGATAGACAAGCATGTGCACCATTATAGTGTCTTCTGTTTCTCTGTATTATAGCTAATTGTGTCAAGAAACTACAATTGAACTTCCCGCCACCTAATAAAAAAAAAGACCTACCGAACCTATTTTTTTCAGCATGTGACAGTAAACTCACATATTTTTTTTATCTCCTTCCCTCCTTTGGATTCGAACTGGAGCTGTTGAGAGATCAACACCAACATTTCATGATATGTCCCACAACATTTTCTGTGTACTTGCAATTTTTGATCAACAGAAATGCAACAGTTATATAAATGGGAAAAAAATCACAAGCAAATTCTGGAAATTTCCTATTTTTTATTTTATAATATGACAAAACATAGAACATAATATAAAGTAACAAAATATGATGAAAATGTATTAGGGCTATTCTATTAAAATGTATGTGGGAGGGTAGGAAGGGACTTTCAAAATATCCCTACAACCAAGAACCATTTTTTAGATAATTTTGTATAATGGTTATAGATGCATACTGAACAAAGACCCATGACCCACATTCAAAAATTAAACTTCCCTTCCTACCCTCCCACATACATTTTAATGGAATAGCCCTTAACAGGAAATCATATATGAACCCAACTTTTCTCAATCAAGATTCAATTTTGTCTCACCTGCAAAACATACATGTAGTGATCCTTCATTCTGGCATGGGTGTGGGCAACATTTAGTTATTTTCTGTAAAGCACATAGACCAAAATGTATTGATATAGACAGGGCAACATCATTAGTATTGCACTTGCTGATTTATTTGTATGATGACTAATTTGATCATATCGTTTAATAGAGACATATCTAAAATGTTGGACATCCATTATATATGTAAACAAAGTTGAGTATTTTCTGTGAAACTATTTTAGGGTACAGTTGGAACACCTGGATCACCCGGACCAGGAGGCCCAAGGGTAAGTCCTCTTATATTTGACCTTATCTTCAAACAAAATCATTTTCACTTTCATGCAGAATAATTGCTAATATTTTGCAAATGGTCCCTGATATATAAGGCATAAAGTAATATTTGTTACTTCAACTTAAACAGTTAAATATTTATAGCTAAATATGCATTATAAACAACTTTACTTTTGAAGAAACAAATTACATATACCATTTAAATTCAATATTTTTATGGAATTTTATGCCAGATTGTATTTTTCTTACAGGGACCAATGGGACAAACTGGAAATGAAGGAAAGCCCGGAGCTCAAGGACCAGCAGTAAGTTATGTATATTTCTTGTCAATAATTACTTGGCTCATAAGCTTTAATAATCTACAGTTTTAAAACATCTCACCCAGTCCTAAGCACTACTAAGCCTCACCATAGAGACAGAGATACTGGTATTTTAAATTACTTTCCTAAATAAATCTAATATAATATTCAGGTCACACTTCGCCAAAAGGTTGGCGTTAAAGTAAGAAAAGATGGACAAAACTACAATATAAATAAATAAGGTTGTATAGGTTTTACTTTGAAATTTAATATAGGTCTATTTGTTATTTAAATTTAAAGCACTTTTTGAAAAAAATTAAGATTAAAGGATATTATATACCTGATAAGAAATTCATTCATTTTGGCCAGTTTTTAAATTGTTTGTTATTATTTGTGATGCAAGTGGAGCTGTTCTCCACTTCAATGAAGCCTTAATAATTTGCCAAATTAATGAATAACTTCTTACTCATATAATTTTGATATTCTAGGGTCTAAGTGGAAAAGATGGACGACCTGGAGAGCAAGGAAATTCAGGGCCTCCTGGACCTCCTGGCTTGAATGGACAAAGTGGTCTCCCAGGTGAACCGGTAAGAACATTTGTTACAGTACAATGATTTTGATGAAAACTGTACTAATATGACCTGTGCAAATCATTAAAAAGCATAAATAACATTCACTAAAAGTATCTCCGTCACCAAACATCAGATATTATTTCTCTGAAATGAGTGGTTATGCTTCTTTAATGCTGCCAGCATTGTTGCCACATAAGGTCATTTATTTCAATCCATTTTTTAACCTGTTACATTTGTAACTTTAGACATTCAAGTCTGGAAATATGATGACTGAGGATTCTGTGTGAATTGTTGGCAGTAACTGTTTTGACTGTTTTCATTCAGCTGTTTCATTAAGAAAAATAATCAAATAGAAATAGAAATACCTTATGGAATATATCTGATATTTATTTGCAGGGGCCAGGTGGACGAGATGGTGAGACTGGACCACCAGGACAAGCGGGACCAAGAGGACTACGAGGTCCACAAGGAGATGGAGGACCAGTCGGACCTCCTGGAAACTCTGTAAGCATACATTTTGATGGTCAACTCTGATTTGACTCAAATGACTAATTCAGCATTTGTTGCTTGTTTAGACATTCTTGACATTTATTTCAAAGAGAATTGCAAATCAAAAATACTGCTTACCGGTACTAGTAAAATGAAATAAAAATATTGTGGAATAATCCTATTTGCTAACATATCCTCATAACTTTAAATTCCAGCCATTGATTAAATAAAAGCTGCTTTCTGAATTGTAAAATATTAATGATATTACCAATTAATTAATATAAAAAACTCAAAAAATATCAGTAATTTGGAATGGTTTTTTTTTTTTTTTTTTTTTTTTTTTTATGTAAATTAGACTCTGTACTAGGTGATTAAAATAAAAATTTATAGAAAGATAAAATAGTTTGTTATTAAAACCATTTGAAGGTGTTTATCATCCATAAGATATGTACTCAAAGTAAGATTTTTAAATTGTAGGGACCACAAGGAGAAAGAGGAGCTCCAGGAATTCAAGGAGAACCAGGTGGTGCCGTAAGTATATTATTAAAAGACCTTTGTTACAGACCTTTGGGTCAAAATAAGGATGACCACTGGATATTTAGCTCACCTGGGCCAATGGACCCTATGATCTATTGCCGCCACTTGTAGTCCTTCAAAGGGTCAGTTGAGAGGCAGAAAATAAGACGTATTTTTTTGGCCTGACCTGCTTTGTTTTTTTCTATTTATTTAATTTGTCAGTAACTCTATATCAGATGCTGAGATCTGCTTTTATAACGTTTTACTTTATTACAGGTTTTTTGTCGGTCATGATGACCATTTCATCAGATGCTGAGATCTGCTTTTATTATGTTTTACTTTATTACAGTTTTTTTGTCGGTCATGATGACCATTTCATCAGATGCTTAGATCTGCTTTTATAACAGTTTATTTTTGTCAGCCATAATGACCATTTCATGACAGAATAAACAAATGAAGTTGTTATCAATTCTGATTTATAAATTGAATTTTGAAGAGAAATCTTTGATAAGTAAAAGCAGTGATTAACATTGATATTCATATCTTTTGGTCATTAGGGTTTGGCTGGAATATCTGGTGCCCCAGGAGAGCCTGGTCGAGGAGGAGATCCCGGTACGCCTGGACCACCAGGAGAGGCAGGAACTCAAGGAGACAGAGTAAGTTTTATGGAACCTGAGACCTTTGTTTCATGTAATAAAAATACCTACAATGTTAGCAGTACATTTTTTATCATTGTGTACAGGAACCCAAAGAGAAAGAATAAGTTTTATGGAACCTGAGACCTTTGTTTAATGTATTATAAACATCTACAGTTTTAGCAGTACATTTTTTTATCATTGTGTACAATTTATTCCAAGTGGATAGTAATAGGAACATTTTCAATTTCACTATTCAATTAATATTGCATATTGTAAATTCAGAAGTTAGTACGTACATTTATTATTGTAAATCACTAATTACTGATAAAAATGTGAAATCTAATTTAAATGCAATTGCAAAAATTTTGTGCAGGAAAACATTACTGAAATTATGAAAGCGTTGTTATTATTGCGAACCTATGTCACATTTTTTGCCTTAATAAAAAATCACGATAACTTCTTATAACTTTATTTGACAATATATTATAGGGTGAACAAGGATTCCCAGGAAACGCTGGACCAATGGGTAAACGGGGACCAGCTGGAGAGAGAGGACCTCCTGGACCTGCTGGAGAACCAGGATTACTTGTAAGTGTCTCTGTAATAACATGGTTGTATGCATTATCTAAAAAATACAGACTGTCCTTAAAAACTTAGCAGTGTTCCCTTATTTTCACTCAAAAATTCTATAACAAATTCTGATATGGAAACTATACAACTCTGGTTGGACATAAGATTTCTTCAAAGCAAGCAGAGTGAAAAAGATCGCATATGAAGCAATTCCTATTAGAACATAAAAAGGAAAAATTGAATGAAGTTCCTGGTAATTAATCAACTGAAAAGTTGTTTATAGGGTACGGTTATTATTGTTGGATGTGCAATTGATGCTAATGAAATACTTTAAATTAGATTAATAATTGTGATTTCTGGAAATCATATGCTACATACAAATATCTGTGAATTTACAGTAAAATAATTTGATTTCTTTGTAGGGTGTAATTGCATTCACTTAACCTGTCTCTCCTTCTTACAAGCATGTATGTCTGTACTTGAAGATTATAATTTTTTTTATTGATGATGGACAAAATATGCATTGCATTGATATTGGGCAGTATTGAAAGTTTCAAAGATATTGTATTTGTTTGAGAGTTGATAAATTTTGAAATCATCAATATTTGCAATAATATCTTTTAGTTATTTCTGAATTATTATTTATTTTTAGTTATATTTCTGAATTATTATTTATTTTTAGTTATTTCTGAATTATTATTTATTTTTAGAATATATTTTCTATTGAACTACTTTTAGGGACCAGCTGGACCAATAGGAGAGCGTGGTAATCCTGGATCGCCAGGTTTGACCGTAAGAATTTTCATACATAACAATGGATCACTCAGATCTTTAAATACAAAAAAAATTGTTTGGGACAGTTTAAAAAATTACTTTTGAGAGGATCTCACATAGTAGTTTTATTACTTTTAAGAATTTGTTGTCATCTTGAATAATAATTTCATTATTAAACTTTGCTAAAATAAAACTGCTTGACTTCTTTTGTAGAAACTCCATGGCCTATTAGCATATGATATGTATATAAGTGTTGTTAGTGGAAATTAAGCACACATTAGGCATTTTGCTCATACACGAATTAAAACTTGACAAAAATACCAAAAATACAGACCATGATAATACATCACAAAATTAACACAACACAAAAATAACACATTCAGCTGGTGTAATCATATGTAATTATATTTTTTAGGGTTTAACTGGTGACACAGGATTGGTAGGTCCACCTGGATCAAGAGGAGGAAGAGTAAGTTTTTATTCATCAAGACTTAAGTTAATTATCAACAATTCATTTTTAACAGATTCTGCTTTTATTATGAAATGGTAAATTCTTTTATGAAATAGCTTATGACCGTAAGCTTTGTTATAGATCTTTTCATATTTGGAAAGACATGCCTTGTTTATTATTTTGACGTTAAAGCATTACATATGGTATAGAAATATTGTCTTTCAGTGTCCTGTTTTTATTATGAACAAAGAGAATACAAAATATTTTCTTCTGATATCCTGCAAACAATATTCAAATATTTTCTGCCTCTATTTTGTTTTGGTTATAAACAAATGTTAATACTTGATCATGTTTCTGTAATAAGGTAGTATTAAAATTTTTGTGTACATCATATTTCATCTTCTTAGTCCACCTCTTCTTTGAAAAGAATGAGAACTGCTAGGAGTGTAAACAAAGAAATATGCCATCTTTATCAAAAACAAAATATGAATGTAAAAATGTAAATGACTTTGACTCACTAAAAATAGGTTAAAAGGTTGGTGATGTTTTATTTCTTCACTCTTTCTTCATCTGGTTATATTTTCCAAAAAACTTGTACCTTTTAAAAGTTGTGTGATTAAGAGGTCAATATCCAGTGTAGGAACTGTTCATTTTCATCTGGTTATATTTTCCAAAAAACTTATACCTTTTAAAAGTTGTGTGATTAAGAGGTCAATATCCAGTGTAGGAACTGTTCATTAATTGATTATGATGGTATGGTGACCTATGATAGGTCATTTTTGCTGACTTTTTGTTTCCATTGATAATTGTTTAATACCTCATATATATAACTTTATTGTCTCCCACGTAAAAATTAAATGGAAAATTGCAATGTTATTGCTCTCATGTGTTCAATTTTTGCCAGAATTTTATGAAACTTATTTCATAGGTTTGTATCAGCAATGTCTTTGACACTTTCGAAAATAAGTTCTGATCAAATATTTTTAATGAGTTATACCCCTTGGAAATAGAAATTATAATGGAAATCACATTGCATTTGCTCTGAAGTCTTCATTTCTCTTAAGATGTTAATAAAAAGTTTTAAGAACAAAAAAAAAAAGGTGCTTTTTTTAGTTATTGCCCTTGTACCCAACGCAGGGGACATTGGAACTTTGTTCTTTTATTTATATTAACTAGAAAGTATAAAACATTAAATTTGTTATTTTATGTTTAAGGGAATGCCAGGAGAAAGGGGAAGCGATGGACAAGTGGGTGCACCTGGTGAGGCAGGAAACCCAGGAATCCCAGGACCACCAGGACCAAGTAATACTCAACTACCACCAAAAGGAGAGCCCGGTCCACCAGGAGAAAGTGGAATTGAAGGACCAAGTGGTGAAGTTGGTCCAAGAGGATACCCAGGCAACCCAGGACCAACTGGTCAACAAGGCTCACCGGTAATGTTTGTCATGACTGCAACAAAAACACAATAATTATATTTCTGGTCATTAAATGTTAGCTATTTGTTTAATAGTTTAATTATACTCCCGTTTAAAAAAAAGTGGGGTATACTGTTTTAGCTCTGTCTGTCTGTCCATCTGTCAGACAATCCATTCGTCCCATGAATATTTTTCATCGCATCTTTCTCAGGAACTGCATCATAAGGATTTCTGAAATTTGGTTTCAGGGTTTATATAAGTCAGCTGTACCGTGTGATGCATTTTCAGATTCATCACTCAACAACTTCCTGTTTACTGAAATATTTGGGCGGGGGTATCATCAGTGAGCAGTAGCTTGCAGTTTCACTATTTTTTTTTGTAAAAAAGTCAACAATAATTATACCCCTGCTTTAAAAAAGTGGGGGTATACTGTTTTACCTCTGTCTGTCCGTCCGTCCATCCGTCCATCCGTCCTTCCTTCAGTCAGTCCGTCCGTCCGTCAGTCCGTCCATCTGTCTCATGAATATTTTTCGTTGCAGCTTTCTCAGGAACTACATCATAAGGATTTCCGAAATTTGGTTTCAGGGTTTATATAAGTCAGCTATACCATGTGATACGTTTTCAGATTCATCACTCAACAATTTCCTGTTTACCAAACACTTACATATTTTTACACTATTAAAATTATCAAGTTGCGGCGGGGGTATCATCAGTGAGCAGTAGCTCGCAGTTCACTTGTTTATTATCAATTTGAACAGATCGCTGTACCTCAATATTCAGTCATTGATTAATGCAATGGTATTAGCAGATATCAGGGAGCTCCTGCATAAGTATCAGTAGGTATCAGGGAGCCTTTGGTCACTATCCCTCTTGCATGTACTCCTGTATAAGTATCAGTAGGTATCAGATAGCCTTGGGTCACCATCCCTTTTGCATGTACTCCTGTATAAGTATCAGTAGGTATCAGGGAGTCTTGGGTCACCATCCCTCTTGCATGTACTCCTGTATAAGTATCAGTAGGTATCAGGGAGCCTTGGGTCACCATCCCTCTTGCATGTACTCCTGCATAAGTATCAGTAGGTATCTTGGAGCCTTGGGTCACCATCCCTTTTGCATGTACTCCTGTATAAGTATCAGTAGGTATCAGGGAGCCTTGGTTCACCATCCCTCTTGCATGTACTCCTGCATAAGTATCAGTAGGTATCAGGGAGTCTTGGGTCACCATCCCTCTTGCATGTACTCCTGCATAAGTATCAGTAGGTATCAGGGAGTCTTGGGTCACCATCCCTCTTGCATGTACTCCTGCATAAGTATCAGTAGGTATCAGGGAGTCTTGGGTCACCATCCCTCTTGCATGTACTCCTGTATAAGTATCAGTCGGTATCAGATAGCCTTGGGTCACCATCCCTTTTGCATGTACTCCTGTATAAGTATCAGTAGGTATCAGGGAGTCTTGGGTCACCATCCCTCTTGCATGTACTCCTGTATAAGTATCAGTAGGTATCAGGGAGCCTTGGGTCACCATCCCTCTTGCATGTACTCCTGCATAAGTATCAGAAGGTATCTTGGAGCCTTGGGTCACCATCCCTTTTGCATGTACTCCTGTATAAGTATCAGTAGGTATCAGGGAGCCTTGGGTCACCATCCCTCTTGCATGTACTCCTGCATAAGTATCAGTAGGTATCAGGGAGTCTTGGGTCACCATCCCTCTTGCATGTACTCCTGCATAAGTATCAGTAGGTATCAGGGAGTCTTGGGTCACCATCCCTCTTGCATGTACTCCTGCATAAGTATCAGTAGGTATCAGGGAGTCTTGGGTCATCATCCCTCTTGCATGTACTCCTGTATAAGTATCAGTAGGTATCTTGGAGCCTTGGGTCACCATCCCTTTTGCATGTACTCCTGTATAAGTATCAGTAGGTATCAGGGAGCCTTGGGTCGACATCCCTCTTGCATGTACTCCTGCATAAGTATCAGTAGGTATCAGGGAGTCTTGGGTCACCATCCCTCTTGCATGTACTCCTGCATAAGTATCAGTAGGTATCAGGGAGTCTTGGGTCATCACCCCTCCTTTATGCACTAATGCATTAGTATCAGTAGATATCAGGAAGCCTTGGGTCTTCATCTCTTCTTCATGTCTTAAAGCATCAGTATCAGTAGGCATCAGGGAGCCTTAGGTCTTCATCTCTTCTTCAAGTATTAAAGCATCAGTATCAGTAGGTATCAGGGAGTCTTGGGTTTTATCTCTTCTTCATGTATTAAAGCATCAGTATCAGTAGGTATCAGGGAGTCTTGGGTATTTATCTCTTCTTCATGTATTAAAGCATCAGTTTCAGTAGGTATCAGGAAGCCTTGTGTATTCGACCACAAAAGAGGCTTTATCTCATATAATCAATCCCCTTAAAATAGTACAGCACAGTCAAAATTGCTTTACTATAAGGAAAGTTTGTGTTTTATTTATAAGAGGATAAAAGGAATTTTGGTGCGTTAGATTAATCGTTTCTTTAATTGTAGGGCCCACCAGGACCAGCTGGAGAAATAGGAGGTGAGGGAAGACCTGGACCAGAAGTAAGTATAGAAATGTATACATTCCCATGTTTATATATTCAATATATAGAGATATATATATATATAAACAAGTCTAAATTGAAAACAACGTTCTAACCTATGATTGTGTTGAATAAAAATCACAATTTTTATACGTGTGCATGCAAAACAAATTTCTCGGTAGAGGGGTCTAAATACAGCACAAACAACATTTTGCAAAAGACCAAAAAAGTGAAAAAGTATATTTTAACAAAACGCATTTGACTAGCAAGTCAAACAACATATGTTCTTAAACCCTGCTAAATGCCAAATAAACTGATCACCAGATGTAACAAAATGGATCTTAACTATTAATTTAATACCAAACAGAAAACAATAAACTTGCGGAAAAGATGGTATACTGCAAACAAAAGGTGCAAAAATGAGTACACCATATCTGGATTTTGACAATTAATGTCTCTTCAGTGATGTTAGGAATCAAAACGGTATTTGGAAGGCCATATAATTTACCTCAATTTAGGATAGACTCTTGAATTTTGAAGAGTCGAAATAGGATGAAGGGATCATATAAACCCGAAGGCAAATATATATATGTATATAAAGTGCCTAGAAATTCAACCTAACAATGTTAGAGGAGATCTAATTCGTTATTTCATCTCTGACTGGGGCTGGAACCTGTACTTTTCACATCTCACTTCTACGGCAACACTGCCTAGAATTGCATAGACACCTTATCCCCTCCTCTAACTATAGCTGATAAAAGTGTACAGGAATGATCATCTACTCGTATCTTCTGTATAATTACAGAATGCTATTATATTTTTAGAAGCATACCATCACTATGACTTTATAAATAGATATATCTGCCTATGTGTAGTGACAACTGCAAATTATACCTTGTCCATCAGATATCTTATGATTAAGAAATACCAACCATTACATATATATATATATATATATGACTGAGCTATTTTAAACATAACGACTATTATTGTATTACATTTGATAAAAGAATTGACACTGGCAAATGCTATTTGTTTAGCTGAAATTTTTGTCTGCATGATTTTATAACATCCTCTTCCTTTATATTATATTACTCCTTATTTTAGGGAACAACCATTTAACTTCAAAGGGGGGGTTATGGTTTTTTTTCTCAGTACGAAAACATTTTTTGCACAACATTTTTTTTAGTTTTTCGATGCTATCAATCAAATTATTTTTCAAAATTTAACACTATAAGGTATGGGGAAAATCTGGATTCCAAATAAATTTTTTTGTCATCTGCTTGACCACAATTTTTTTTTCTTCATCAAATTAGGGATCAGAATATTTTTTTAGGAAAAAACCATAACCCCCCCCCCTTGAAGTTAAATGGTCGTTCCCTTAGTATTGTTGTGCAAAGACCTTTATGCAGAAATATAAATAAATCTGATTCACTGTGTTTGAAAGCTTTTTGTCAAATAAAACTTTAGATCAACATTATAAACCAAATGTTTTTAATGATTCATTTTAATGATGATTTGAAGAAAAAAAAAATTCTTGAAGAAAATGACCCTTAAGTCTTTACTTGAAGAATTTTAAAAATATATTCTCATATACAACACTGAGCATACTAAACTTGTACATAACATAAGGTGGTAGAGTGGTCTAAGTAGTTCATCTACAGCAATCACAAGCTTGTCAACACTGAGACTGTGAGTTAGAACCTCCCACATGACAGGTGCGTTCCTCTTTGATTGTTATTGATTAGGATTGCCTGTTTTCTTACCCAAAGTCAATGGTTCTCTCCAGCTTCCTCCACAGAAAAAAATGGATGTCACGATATAGCAACGATTTCTTAAAGAGGCATTAAACACCAATAAGCAATGAATCAATCAAAACCTAAGTAAAGTAGCATACATATTCAAGCTTTATGACTAATTGTGTGAATTACAGTTATCATACATGTCATGGTTTGATATAAACAATGCTATGTAATGGTTAGTAATATAACAAATAAACTTTTATTATTCTAGGGAGATACCGGACCCAGAGGATACCCAGGTGAGCCAGGAGATACTGGTGAACCGGTAAGTTTAAATAAAATGTAAAGTGTGATGTAATATTATGATGAAAACATCTAATGCAAAAATAATGTCAAATTTTTTGCCAATTTATAATAATACATATTTAGAAAATTAAACACATAATTGAAACATTGTTAAGTATGAAGTCTTTTTTTAAAAAGTATCAATGTTATTGTATAGTGTGGTTTCATTTATTTTTGTGGGTACCAATTTTCTCTGATGAAAGAAAAATTGTGTTTCGAGGATTTTTTGATTTCGTGGTTTTAAAAATGGCTGCATACAAGCCAATAGAAAATTGGTACTTTGATGAACATTTTTTAAATTTGTGGTTCATCTGTTACCACAAAATCCACGAAAATTGCTATCAACGAATAATAATGAATCCACAGTATATAAACCTAGTTATTCATTCGGCTTCAATGCATTCTTGTTTAATTAAAGAACTGTGGTTCATTATTATTCGTCGGATACCAATTTTCATTGATTTTGTGGGAACCACGAATTACAAGTTTTCTATAGGCTTGTATGCCAACGTTGGCAAAACCACAAAATTAAATATCCACGAAAAAAGTTTTCCTCAATCCACAAAAATTGGTACCCATGAAAAATAAATTAATCCACAGTATAACAATTTATTAAAATTAGATAATGATTATTTTTACATTACTGTCTTTCAGTAAAATTAGATTTTAAAGTAATTATATTATTCATAACAAGTAAAAAAAGAGCAAATGAGTTTCTTGTTAGTGGTCACTAGATAGTGTTTTCAGTAAGTCTATTCATATTTATTTGTTATTAAAATGTCTGCATGTAAATATGCACAGGGGAGGGGGCTGCATACTTATTTGAAAGATTTCTATACTGTAAATTCAGAAGTTTTTGCGAGGTGTTTATTATTGCAAATAATGGGATTGGGTGATACTTGCAATAATAAGAACTCACATTGTGATATCTGATACATATATCTGTATACAGATTTTCCAAAATCACAATAATAAATCTTGCATTTTTGTCCTTTCTTAAAAAATGGCAATGATAAATGCATGCAATAATTTCTGAATTTATGGTATTTTTAATTTTATTAGAAATTAACAATCAAAAGTGTTAAAATAATTAATAATAACAATTTGAAGAAAGAATTGAACTGTTTTGTTGAGGAGAAAATAATTTTTATTAATGTAGGGGCGTGATGGTACTGATGGTGAACAAGGAGGTGCTGGAGAAGCAGGACAACAAGGACCCGCAGGTGCCCCAGGATCCCCTGGCAGACCTGGTCCACCAGGACCACAAGGCCCACAAGGAAATACTGGATTTATGGGACCAGGTGGAAAGGCTGGAGCAAGGGTAAGTTACTGGTTTAATATCTAGTAGTTTTGATAACATTTTTTTTTTAATCGAACAAGGAGCTTTCAACTGTACTCAAGCATTATGCCCCTTTGTTATGGTAAAAATTGGGATTTTTTTGTTTATGGATAATAGTTAAAGTACCAATTAACAAAATCTCTTAAGATTTGAACATTGTCATAATCCATAAACTACAGGCCAAGGATGATCCATAAAATACAGGCCAAGGTCAGTTTTGTAAAAAAGGATGTCTTATTTTAAGAATAATCAAAGTTTAACACTGAGGTGTTGTTGTTTTAGGGAGACCGTGGAGAGACTGGACCACCCGGACCTGGAGGAAGAGATGGGGAATCTGGACCACCAGGTCAGAATGGACAATCTGGTGATCGAGGAAATCCTGGTCCAATAGTAAGTTTGATATTATATTTTGAAGGTTGTGGCAGTAGAGACTAAATGCTTTACAGTAATTAAAGAAAATCATATGATTTATACACTTTAAATTAACTTTGCTATCGAACTTAAATACCAGAAACTGGCAAGATCATTGAATATATTGCAATATCACTCAAAATAAAGTTTACTTTGATATGAGAAGACATGAACATTTGAAAATGTCTTGCAGATATAAAAATTATCAACTCATGTTATTGTTTGTTTTATAGGGACCACAAGGTATTCAAGGACCTTCTGGACCACAGGGTGAGAGAGGTAACCCAGGATACCCTGGAGCCCAAGGTGAACCTGGACCAGGTGGTGAACAGGGACCCCAGGTAATTTTTATGTTTATGCACAGTCCAAATTTATTGGTTTACCTTACCTTTGATGGTAAGATATTTTTCTTATGTTTCAGTGGGACGGCAAAGTTATTATTTTAATTCGGCCACAATATGCACTTTCATAAAGTTTGTCAGGTCCCTTTGTGTCTTAGGATGTGGAAGACCAATGGAAGAGATAAGGGTTGTGTTCAATATCATAGCAGCTTGTTAACTGCTATATCCTAGATATCTATCTATGTTGAAGGATATGCTAAATAGCTAGGCTTTCCAAATGACGTCATTGATAATAATTTATCAGACGCCATTTTGGATTCTCTAGATAGCGTGAATTTTTTAGGCTATCTAGATCTTTTTAGCAGCTAGGCTAGCTATACGTTCACTAGTCAAAATCTACATAGACCTACGTAGCTGCTATGATATTGAATGCACCCCAGTTATCCTTCCTTTGTTTTTATATGACCGCAAACAATTTTTTGGGTTCATATAATGCTATGATGTCGTCGTCGTCGTCCGAATGACACATTTGGTTTCCGGACAATAACTTTAGTTTAAGTGAATGGATCTCTATGAAATTTTACAAGAAGGTTCAATACCACAAAAGGAAGGTTGGGATTGATTTTGGGGGTTATGGTACCAACAGTTTAGGAATAAAGGGTCACAAAGGGCCAAAAACAAGCATTTTTGTAGTTTCCGGACAATAACTTGTGTGTGAATGTATGGATCGTTCTGACATTGTTCCACAAGGTTCAATATCACAAAGGGAAGGCTGGGATTGAGTTTGGGGGTAATTGCTCCAAACATGCAGGAATTAGGGGCAAAAAAGGGGCCAAATACAAGCATTTTTCTAGTTTCCAAACAATAACTTGTGTTTAAGTTTATGGATCTCTCTAAAATTGTACTTCAAGGTTCCATACTACAAAGGGAAGGCTGGGATTGAGTTTGGGGTCAATTGCTCCAAGGGAAGGGGGGGCAAAAAGTTTGGGGGGATTTTTTTTTCTCATTTCTATTTCAAAATTTTTTAAATTTCAAATTTTTGAAAAGTTTCAAGAAGAAATCTTTGATTGCACAGTATTGCTCAATAGATTTTTAAGATCTTTGACCACATTTATTTTGTGTCAGAAACCTATATTATGTCAAAAATTTGATCACAATCCAAATTCAGACAGTATCGAGCTTGAATATTGTGTCCAAATTTGCCCCAACTGTTCAGGGTTCAACCTCTGTGGTCATATCAGGCTGCGCTCAGCGAAGCATTTTATTAGAATGTAATATTTACTTCTCCAGAACGAAAAAAATGATTGAGAAAATTCAGGTGAATTGGTCATCTGACCAAAAAACTATACAGGAATGTTTCAAATTGTTAAACATGTCCTCTTTCAGAGGTGAAACCATCATGACCAGACACATTTTTGTGGAGTTCATGGCATTCTTTGACTGTTTATCGTGTTGTAAGTTTTAGAGATTTCTTAGGTCTTTACTTTAAAAGAATCTCATTTACACAAATCTCATACCGTAATTCATGTATTCCAAATTTAAGATGACACACTCGACCTCAGATGAGTCGAACCTAGGATAAGTCAAATACTTTGGTCCGGGCCCATTCGACTTCGACATAACGAGGTCCAACTGTACTGTATTCTTTAAAGAAGCAAGATCAGAATATTCAAACATTTTCCAGTAAATATGTTTTTGTGATTATATATTATAGGGTCCCCCAGGCCTTGCAGGAGATAATGGCAAAGATGGATACAGTGGACCACCTGGACCCCCAGGACCAATGGGACAAAATGGAATGACAGGACCCCCTGGTGAACCTGTAAGTTAGCAGGTTGCAGTAATTTTAATTTCTAAATACATGTATTAATCTAAAAATAGGGGATTTATTCTTAAATGAATTAAAAAATAATGCAAAGTGGACAGTTAAATATCTGGTTGTCAGAATATTTCTTTTAATTGATTCTGAATTCTTATGTTTTCTATATCTACAGCACAAACATTAGCTTTGCTATTTCATTTCAAAGCAAAATTTATAAAGTGCAAATAAATTTACTAAAAGAGTTGGAACTTCAAAAAATAACCAAGGAGAAGTAAGATTTAAAGATGTTAAACCTTGTAAGTTTAGACTAGTTTTACTAACTGTGATTTTAAGATGAAGAACAGCAATAAAAGTGGTATTCCTTTGCTTTTTGTGTGTTTTCTGCTGTGCATGTACTGATTTTGTGTCATGGATGGATACCCATATCCTTTGTTTTTCTATTACTCAAGTTTGTCTTTTATGCTGAATTTTATTTTTTCTGATAGGGAACTCCTGGATTAAATGGCATGTCTGGAGCTCCTGGACGCCAAGGAGAGAAGGGAGGAAGAGGAATATCAGGATCTCCTGGATTACAGGGACCACCCGGACCTCAGGTAATTTGATGAGGTGGCAAGCCCATTAATACATACTACCAAGTTGATTGGATCAAAAACCATACAGACACTTATCTTTTTATGCCCCCGCCGTAGCGGAGTGGGCATTAAGTTTTACCCTTGTCCATCTGTACGTCTGTACGTCCGTCCGTGCCCCCGCCGTAGCGGAGGGGGCATTAAGTTTTACCCTTGTCCATCTGTACGTCCGTCCGTTCGTATGTCCCAAAGTTGGTTTCCATTCTCTAACTTTAGTTTGCCACAACCAAATGTTATGAAACTTATACACAATGCTTATTACCACAAAACACAGATCAAGTTTGAATTTTGGTGGCGTCACTCTAACCATTCTGGAGTTATGCCCCTTTACAAATGGAAAAATTGCTGAATTTTTCGTTTCCGTTCTCCAACTTTAGTTTGCCTCAACCCAATGTTATGAAACTTATACACAATGCTTATTACCACATGATACAGATCAAATTTGTAATTGGGTGGCATCACTTTTACCGTTCTTGGGTTATGCCCCTTTATAAACATAAAAATTGTTGAATTTTTCATTTCTGTTCTTTAACTTTAGTTTGCTTTAACCAAATGTTATGAAACTTATACACAATGCTTATTACCACAAAATACAGATCAAGTTTGAATATTGGTGGTGTCACTTTTACTGTTCTAGAGTTATGCCTGTTTACAAATGGAAAAATTGCCGAATTCATCATTTCTGTTCTTTAACTAAAGTTAGCCTCAACCAAATGTTATGAGACTGATACACAATACTTATTACCTCAAAACTCAGATCAAGTACAAATTTGGGTAGCGTCACTTTTACCGTTCTTCAGTTATGTCCCTTTATAACTTCATATGATATGTAAGCGGGGGCATCATCTGTGTCCCATGGACACATTCCCCATTTATTATTTACATTTTTACATATGAAGAATTGCAATAATAAATGTGAAAAATTTGTTTAATATCCTACATGTAAAAAAATGTCATTGCTGTCAATCTAGAGTTGAAATGAAATGTTTTATCATCTAAAAATGAGGACATTTAATCAAGTTTATATTTGTTGATATTTTTAGGGCCCATCGGGACCATTGGGAAATGATGGACCACAGGGAGAACGTGGTGAGAGGGTAAGTTGTTTCTTAGTTTAATCTAGTTATTACTTTCATGTATAGACTTTTAAAGATTTATTTCATAATGGCCTCTATGTGACCTCTGTGATTTCAATGGGTTTTTTTTTTTGTGTTTTGTCACAGGAACAAGATCCACATCAACATTTTAATATTTCATATCTTTACTTTCACTGCAACTCTAAACGTGAATTGAATAAAACTTGTAGACATTTCATAATCTTCATACATGTATAGTGTATCTTTTTAAATGTGTTCAATTATATTACATTGTAGTTTGCTCATTGTATATTGGTTTTATTTTCAGTGAAAAATGTTATTTTATTTTTAAGGGACAAACAGGTGAATCTGGAGTTCCTGGAGCCCCAGGACAACAAGGCTCAACGGTAAGTTTTCTAAAAAGATTATTAACAAAGTCCTATGACATTAAGGTTCAACGGTAGGTTCTCTAAAAATGTTAGATGTGTATAACCAGTCAACCAATAAATGAACAAATTAGAAACCATTATACAAATTTATAGCCTGGGATCTGATCAAAATGAACTAAGTGCTAATTTGGCTAAAAGAATATAAAGGGGACATTTTACAAGTACTCTGATATTGGCAAGCTCTAAAATGTGACTCACTGCATCACCAATCTGTATTTATGTGTTGGTATATGTGTTTTCATTTACTCAAAATCAAGTGTTGGGGTATGAATAGGTAAGCTGTAACTAGGACTTTTCATCCTTTTTCAAGTGAGAGGGTTAGCTAGCTATAAAACTATGTTTAACCCACCATTTTCTACATAGGAAATATCTGTACCAAGTTAGGAATATGACAGGTTTTTCCATTCGTTTGATGTGTTTGAGCTTTTGATTTTGCCTTTTAAAAGGGACTTTTCGTTTTGAATTTTGGAGTTTGGTAATTTAGTTATTTTACTTTTTTCATATCAGTTCCACATTAGAAATCTGCCTTTGCCATTTCAAAATAATTTGATTTTGTAAAAGTTCAGATGCTAATTAATTTTCTTTATGGATATAATATTTCATTAAAATAATTGCCATTGATATTATATTTGTTGTGTAGGGACCATCTGGACCAGCTGGTGCCACTGGAGAGACTGGGCGAGCAGGATCAAAGGTAAATTTTGTCATTTTTATCTGACGAGTCTAGACTCTTTTGTTGTTAAATGCTAGTATACAGTCAGACCTTGTTGCATCGAAAACTTGGATTACTTTAGGTATTTAATGTCAGACCTGTTAAAATTTCTGATTGTTTAATACAATTCTAACTGATGAGTGAAACTCGGTTGATATGAAATCTCAGTTAACTGAAGTATATTCCATGGCAATGATGATGAACAAATAAAGGAAATTATCCCTGATGTCTGGAAGTTTAAAGATCTAGCTTATTCATTCTATCATTATACAAAAAAAGATCTTAAGTCTAGTAGTTTTATCTTATTATAAAAAAAGATCTAATCTATTCATTTTATAATATTACAATACAAAAATAATCAAGTCTATTCTTTTTATCGTAATAGAAAATGTGTTTTTGTGGATGTTGAAAATGAGATATATAAATTTTAACTTTAAACAATTGAAAATGGAACTATGATAATACTTTAATAATGTATATTTTAGGGAGACAAAGGATGGCCAGGTATGCCAGGAGGACAAGGACTTCCTGGACCTCAGGTGAGTTGCAGATGAGGGTCTTTATGATAAAACATTTGGTACAAAAATGATAGTACATAGGCCAAGGGGAAATTTTATTAAAGAAACATTGAAGAAATAAATGTTTAAGTTACTTAAATTGAGCGAATAACTTTTTAACCTCTTCAAAGAATTATTTTTCTAGTTCAATTTAACTAGAATATTTACTGACCAACAGACTGATATCATCAAAATCTTGAATAACTTTTGAGATAGATTTCAAGTTTAAATGTTTGTTAATGAAAAATATTCAATTTTTTTTTTTTTAATTTAGGGACCTGGAGGAGAAATTGGTACAAGTGGACCACCCGGACCTCCTGGACCATCTGTAAGTTTAGTTAGAATATGGTTAAAGCATCTAAAGATGCATATTGCAACTTTCTTATACCATAAAGTACCGGTACCGGTAAATTTAGGTTTTATAAAGAGTATGAATTACATAGATATATGGTTTTATATGAACTCAAGTCATTTAATTTCAATACAATAATTAATGATTAATTCATAGAAACTTGTTACAAAAAATACTAAATTTTGTAATAGTAAATCAGTCTGATGTATATAGATACAATTTGTTTTAGGGAAGCCCAGGAACTCGTGGAAACTCAGGAAGAGATGGAGAACCTGGATCACCTGGTCAACCAGGACCACCTGTAAGTAGTTTTGGATTCAATATGACTAGTTACTTTTGTATATGAAACACTTAAAGATTCAAATTTTACTAGATCAATCCTAATATTGTTTATATGTTTATAACATTAAGATGTTATCATCTTTTTTTCTTTTGTATAGTTAGAATGCATGAATGATGTTAAAAAGTTTACCCATGAAATAATTTCCTTTTGATTTTTGAGATGCAAGAAATATATTATTTAGTATTTATTGTTTAAGCCACAATTGTTAAACAAATTAACTCGATAATTGTAAAGTAATGTATCTGTAATGTATTTGTTAATGGTTGTTGGTTGCTTAATATCCAGTGGCAAATATTTCGTGCATGTTCAGGACGAGGTAATGTGTCAGAGATCTCAAATAAAGCTGTAATTTATCAGAGATTTGATTATCAATCAAATTCGTTTAAATTTTTCAGGGAGTAATTTATTAGAGATTTGATTATCAATCAGTTTTGTTTAAATTTTTCAGGGAGGCAGAGGACCACAAGGAGATGATGGATTGACTGTAAGTACCACTTAAAGGAATATTTTTTGCATGCATTTATTATTGTGATTATTTATTGAGATTTCAGAAAAATTCAAATTGCAACCTATTTTGGGGCGATTATTGCAATAATAAAATCAATGCAAAAAGATCTGAATATTTGTATATAAATTTAAGCTTTAGTACTTTGGACATTTGTTATGAATTAACAGTGCTGAGATGGATTATTCTCCTACATGTCGCAGTTATTGTTGTTGGAATTATATATTACATATAGAAAAAATAGATGAGGAATAATTACCAATGAGAAACTATTGACCAAATGCCAAAGATTGAAGCAACTATAGGTCACTGTACGGCCTTCAACATTTAAAGCCATATATTTCTAAGATATAATATAGGTTACTGTAACCTTTATTTATTTGCATAGTAGAAGTGAGTGATTGGTTTTTCTTATTGACGCCCAAACATCTAAAATCCTTTAATCAACTTACCTGAGGGAGTTTCAAACTTTGGTATATTCAGTTCAATATTTCTTTACTACTGGTAAGATGGTACTACCAAAATATATACCGGTAACCCATATCAGTGTCATAGAACCAACCTTTCATTTAGCAAATGTAACCTTTTGAGATGACAGTTGCCTAGCATTGGAACAAGAACCAACCATTTACATAGCAATTGTACCTTTTTGAACTGATAGTTGCCTAGTCATGGCACTAGAACCAGCCATTTTCTTAGCAGTTGTACCATTTTGAACTGACAATGGCCTAACAATGGCACAAGAACCAGCCATTTTCTTAGCAATTGTATCTTTTTGAACTGACAGTTGCCTAGCAATGGCACAAGAACCAGCCATTTTCTTAGTAATTGTACCTTTTTGAAATGACAGTTGCCTAACAATGGCACAAGAACCAGCCATTTTATTGGCAATTGTACCTTTTTGAACTGACAGTTGCCTAGCAATGGCATAAGAACCAACCATTTACATAGCAGTTGTACCTTTTTTAACTGATAGTTGCCTCGCAATGGCACTAGAACCAGCCATTTTCTTAGCAATTGTACCTTTTTGAAATGACAGTTGCCTAGCAATGGCACAAGAACCAACCATTTACATAGTAATTGTACCTTTTTGAAATGACAGTTGCCTTGCAATGGCAGTAGAACCAGCCATTTTCTTAGCAATTGTACCTTTTTGAACTGACAGTTGCCTAACAATGGCACAAGAACCAGCCATTTTATTAGCAACTGTACCTTTTTGAACTGACAGTTGCCTAGCAATGGCACTAGAACCAACCATTTACATAGCAATTGTACCTTTTTTAACTGATAGTTGCCTAGCAATGGCACTAGAACCAGCCATTTTCTTAGCAATTGTACCTTTTTGAACTGACATTTGCTTACCAGTGGGATTGACTAAATGGTAAAATTGTGTATGCAACATAAGTTTCTTGGAAAACCTACTTTATGTTTGCTTGATATTAAGTGTTTTAAATTAAATACAGAAGAATTTAAGGAGCAGTAAAACCAAAAAGGTTTAAAAAGAATAGCCAGATATTGTGAAAAAAGAAAACTTTACAGACTCAAAATTGAATTACTAAGTGAAGTTCCCTGTTTCACTGTTCTGATGGTAGTGTTGTTATTGTCATGGTCTATTTATGATTTCAGGGACCAGCTGGACCCCAAGGACCAGCAGGACCTCCCGGACCACCCGTAAGTTTTATATATTATTATAATATTATAAGATGGCTGTATGTTTTGTAAAGTTTTCAAATATGAGGTAAAAATATATAATTTTAGTATGGTAAATACAATCATTGAATGTTGGAGAAAAAGATACCAAGCTTATAATTTTGTTCACCAGATGCACGTTTTGTCTACAAAAGACCTGTCAGTGACGCTAGAATTCAAAAAATTACAGTGATAATGCAGTATGAAGTTGGAAGCTAGCTTGAACAGGATAATGTTATTTATTTCATGCAATCTTTATAATTGACAGGGTTATGCACCTGTTTGGCCAACACAACCAAACTATAGAGGAGGAGGTGGCGGCAAGGGACCAGATCCAATGTATGTAAGTAAACATATTTGTACTTCAGCACCATTTTAATGCTTCCACCATAGCGGATGCGGCATTAAGTTTTACCCTTATCCATCTGTACGTCCATCTGTCTGCCGTCCGTCCGTACGTCCCGAAGTTGGTTTCCATTCTCTAACTTTAGTTTGCGTCAACCAAATGTTTTGAAACTTATACATAATGCTAATTACCACAAAACACAGATCAAGTTTGATATTTGGTGGCGTTTTTTAACCATTCTAGAGTTATGCCCCTTTATAAATGGAAAAATTACAAAATTTTTAGTTTCTGTCCTCTAACTTAAGTTTGCCTCAACCAAGTGTTATGAAACTTAAACACAATGCTTATTACCACAAAACACAGATCAAGTTTGAATTTTTGTGGCCTCACACTAACTGTTCTAGAGTTATGCCCCTTTATAAATGGAAAAATTGCCAAATTTTTAGTTTCCTTTCTCTAACTTAAATTTGCCTCAACCAAATGTTATGAAACTTATACACAATGCTTATTACCACAAAACACAGATCAAGTTTGAATTTTGGTGGGGTCACTTTAACCGTTCTAGAGTTATGCCCTTTTATAAATGGAAAAATTGCTAATTTTTTAGTTTCCGTTCTCTAACTTAAGTTTGCCTCAACCAAATGTTATGAAACTTATACACAATGCTTATTACCATGAAACACAGATAAGTTGAATTTTGGTAGAGTCACTTTAATCATTATTGAGTTATGCCCCTTTATAAATTGAAAAATTGCAAAATTTTTAGTTTCCGTTCTGTAACTTAAGTTTGCCCCAACCAAACATTATGTAACCTATACACAATACTTATTACCTTAAAACTCAGATCAAGTACAAATTTGGGTAGCGTCACTTTTATCGTTCTTGAGTTATGTCCCTTTATAATGTTAAATGCAAGTTGGGGCATCATCTGTGTCCATGGGGACACATTCTCCATTTATTTTTTATTAAGAGAAGGGAAATATATTGATGATTGATCATTTTATAGATTTGTTTATACTTACATAAAATGATGAATTTATATTGTAAAAGATTGATAGATGAAAGTAGTGAAGTGATATCAAACTATCTAAAACTGTGGAATATCTTGTTTTTAAATTCAGTACGGTGACGATCCAAAGACGACTCCAGAAGTAAACGAGGATTTGTCTAGAATTCAAGAGGCCCTCCTGCGTACCAAAAAACCAAATGGCAAGAAACATAATCCAGGTGTAACCTGCAAAGATATTCTTCTCCAGAATCCAGACTCTGAAGATGGTAAGTTAACTACTCTGTAAATATAAATAAATTGCATACATTTGACAGGATTGTTAAGTCAAAACTGGAGATTTGAAAATTTTCAACTGGAGTTTGGGCTTCATTACTAGAGATTTTTTTTACTCCCCCTGGAAGAATCACATGTATGAAATTGTTTGATCAGCAATCTTTTGAAATCTTTCTTGTTTTGAAAAAGACCAAAGAACTTTTTTTGTAATACTTCATAAGGAAAATTGCCTTTATTGTGGAAAATGCATGCTATGAATCTGCAACATATATTTGTGCTGATATACATGTGGGATTTTTAAAGATAAAAATTAAGATGTTTCTTGTGTAGAAGGAATAAATTTTTTACAATTTTCATATTTTGTATTTTATTAAGGATGGTATTATATTGATCCAAATGGTGGAACTTTCATTGATGCTGTTGAAGTTTACTGTAGGATGAAATTAGATGGAGAAACATGTGTTCCAGCTGCACCTAAAACAGTTAGTTCTTTTTCAGCCTTCACAACACTGGTTATATGGCAAAAAATCTTTAGAGATACAAAAACACATGAATGATAATAGTGGGATGGGGTCAGAAAGAGTCGATATATAACATCTTAAAACAATACATGAATATATCATAAAGAGATGTGGTATGATTACCAATGAGACAAGTATCCAACAGAGACCAAATGATGTGAATTTAACAATTATAGGTCACTGTACGGACTTCAACCATGAGCAAATCCCGTATAGTCAGCTTTAAGAGGCCCTGACATGAAAAACCTGAAACAATTTAAACAAAAAAAACAACAGTCTGATTTATGACAAAACAACGAATATAAAAGACAGCAACCTCTGACCACCACTGAATTTCAGGCTTCTGACTTGAGACAGGCACATAAAGAATGTGGCAAGGTGTAATATGTTTGTAAGTGCTCAACCCCTCTCTATTTCCTGGGACAGTGATGTAACAGCACAACATAAGGACAGAATAAAATCAGTTGGAAATGGCTTGACTCCTCAGATTGGCACGAAGCACAAAAAACAACTAACATACAAACAAAAGGCACAAAGAACCAATCTAAGATTACTAGCAGTTACTAAAAGCTATTTCAAATTCAGTAACAACTAATAAATTAATCATGTTCTCCCAGACTAAAGTATCGTAGTTCCTTTTTGAAATCAAAATAATCCAGAAAAAATGTCCACTTAAAAAATAAGATAAATCACCTAATAGTATGATATTAGAGAGGAAAACAATTATTTTGACAAATTGATATACTAATATCTTTACTTAAATCTGCTGGCTTATGGAAAATTTTACAAATGTTTGGGACAATCATATATGATATACATTTGTAGTGCAGCTTTTCATTGTATTTTTCTTGGTAATTTGAAAATTGCTTTTATTTTTAGTTCGAAGAACAAAGGTGGACCAAAGACACAAGAGCTCAATGGTTTGGAGGTGATATTCTAGGAAGTTCTGAGGTCAGTATTACAGATTATCAAATTTCTGAAATACTATAACAGGCCTCTCTTGTAAAAAAAGTAAAAAGAATCATAAATATTTAGAATAGATTTTAAAATCTTTCACAAATACAATCCTATTGACTCATAGCATTCTTTTGTGTGTGTGTGAGGAAGGGAGGGGGCATCAGGATTGTTTTTGCTCTAAACAACAATATTTTCAATAACATACAGAGGAACAGAGGAACCAAAAATAGTTTTTCTGAAACACATTTTCTTCCAAGAAATTTGGAAATTTGAATCATAATTTGATTTTTATGCCCCTGCCGTAGCAGAGGGGGCATTAAGTTTTACCCTTGTCCTTCTGTACATCCATACATACGTTCGTCCCAAAATTGGTTTCCATTCTCTAACTTTAGTTTGCCTTGACCAAATGTTATGAAACTTATACACAATGCTAATTACCACAAAACACAGATCAGGTTTGAATTTTGGGGGGGTCACTTTTGGCGTTCTTGAGTTATGCCCCTTTACAAATTGAAAAATTGCTGAATTTTGTGTTTCCGTTTTCTTATTTTAGTTTGCCTCAACCAAATGTTATGAAAATTTTACACAATGCTTATTACCACAATACACAATGCTTATTACCACAATACACAATGCTTATTACCACAAAAAACAGTTCAAGTTTAAATTTTGGTGGAGTCACTTTAACTGTTTTAGAGTTATGCCCCTTTACAAATGGAAAAATTGCTGAATTTTTTGTTTCCGTTCTCTAACTTTAGATGTCCTCAACCAAATGTTATGACACTTATACACAATGCTTATTACCTTAAAACACAGACCAAGTTTGAATTTTGGTGGCGTCACTTTTGCCTTTCTAGAGTTATGCCCCTTTACAAATGGAAAAATTGCTAATTTTTTGGTTTCTGTTCTTTAACCAAATGTTATGAAACTTATACACAATGCTTATTACCACAAAACACAGATCAAGTTTGAACTTTGGTGGCGTCACTTGTAACGTTCTAAAGTTATGCCCCTTTACAAATGGAAAAATTGCTGGATTTTTTGTTTCTGTTCTCTCACAATTTCTTTTTACCCCCCTCCCCCCAAAAATTTGCCTCGACTAAATGTTATGAAACGTATACACAATGCTAATTACCACAAAACTCTGATAAAGTACAAATTTGGGTAGCGTCAATTTTACAGTTCTTGAGTTATGTCCCTTTATAACTTTATATGCAAGCGGGGGCATCATCTGTGTCCCATGGACACATTCCCCATTTTTAAAAAACATCCACCAACAATATCAATTGTCAGTGGTTAGGAGATACATCATGTCTAATGATATTAACAGTAATTATATTTTACTGATATTTTTTTTAGTATATTGATAAAATCACAAACATGATATTCTGTGTATATTTGACAGTTTACCTATAAAATAGAAGCTATACAAATGAAGATGCTTCAGATGCACAGCTCAAGGGCACAACAGAGAATAACATACAAATGTTTGAACTCAGATCCTAAAGGTGCTGTCCTAATGTCCAGTGATTTTGATAAATTAGAAACAACAGATAAAAAGCAGGATAGAACTTTATCAGCAAGAGTAGATACCTTTGGTAATTGCCAGGTAAGTTCTCAAAATGTTTTTTAAATACTCTAAATTCAGAAATTATTGGGAGGTTTTTATTAATGCGCATAATGTGAGCCTGTGAGTGTCACAATAATAAGAAATCACATTCTGATATATATTTCATATATCTTGATGCAGCTTTTCCTGAAATCGCAATAATTAATCTTGCAAATTTGTCCATTCTTCAAATATCGCAAAAATAAATGCATGCAATAATTTCTAAATTTACAATACATACTTCGTTTGATTTTATTTTGCAATTATTCATAAAATATATAAAAATAAGGAGTTGTAGTACGATTGCCAATAAAACAACTTTTCAGCAGAGTTCAAATGACGTGGATATAAGCAATTAAGTATACTTGCTGTAGACGTATTGAGATATGAGTCCTTATCATCTCTTTTGAGTCGAAATATAAACTTCATAATATTTGCTGTTATAATAGGAAGTCTTTCATTCGTACTCATAATTTTGTGTTTAATTTAAATTAGTATACCTTCTACTGATAAGATAAGCAAAGTAAAAAGATTTTTTTTTTCTTCAGAATTTTAAACGATTTTCTATTCTACTATTTTACAATTGTCTTTATTTTGTTATTAGAACTACCATATGTGTAATTGCTAAAGTTCTTGTATATTAGCATTTTCTTTTTAGCCTATCTTTAGTCAATACGTGTTTCATAAATATAGATCATATCATTTCTCTTTATAATTTCAGAAAAATAACCAATGGGGAGAGATGGTCTTTGATATAAAATCAGAAAGATCAGAAGTGCTACCTATTTTGGACATAAAACTCAAAGATGTTGGACTAGAAAATCAAGAATTTGCTTTAAGCATAGGAGAAGTGTGTTTTAATACATAATAAATGACAAAATACAATTTTATAGTTTAATGAATTGGCTTGAAGTCATGGCAGTAATATTTATATGGCAACTTGAAATCATGGCAATGTATAAAGCAAAAGAAAGAAAATCATGGCAGAAGTTAAATGAACACTGGTCCCTTGATCTTGGTTTAGGTTAGGAGACATTAAGATCATTTATGAATGGGACCATAACATAATCATTGAAGTGTTTTTCCGAAGCTCTTTCATTACTTGTATAAATCATGGCACAGATAAAAAGTAATGGAAGATTTTCTGAGACACCATTAATGTATAATTTGTAAAAATCATGGCAAATATTTATTTTTGTTTAAATTCCATCATGGCAACTTGATAATGTGGATTACATTGCAGATATTGTGATGTGATGATTGTATGTTGGCTTCCCTTTCAATTCCGTCCAAATGTGTATGTGAGGGAGAGAGAAAAAGATTTTTTAAGTAAATGTGTGCAATATCTTATTTTATAAAATTAAATTGTATTTTAGATTGTTTGTATGTATAAGTCTTTCTCAATATGTAATATTGTTTTTTTACATATAGGAAACTGGACACAACTAAAAAGCTCATATTTTATAATGAAAAATCAGTTATACATTAGAACTATAACAATCTGGACTCTGAAAATCATTCATGCCTGAAAATATCATTCATGCCTGAAAATTTCATAAATACTTAAAGGAACTGTGAGTTAAATGTGAATTTTTTTATATGATTATATATTGTTTTATTTTATATAAAACAGGAACGTTCTCTCAAGGAACTCATTTTTTTTTATATGTTTACAGCATCATTTTATTGCTTCATTGATAATACAGTCTATGGAATAAAATTTCATAAAATTATTTGTATATTTCTTTAATATGACAGAAGTTAAAAGTTTACTGCTATTATTAAATCAAGAAGATGTGGTATGATTGTTAATGAGACAACTCTCCACCAGAGACCAAATGACATTGAAGTTAACATCTATAGGTCACTATCTTGCCTTCAACAATGAGCATAACACATAGCAAGCTATAAAAGGCCCCGAAATGACAAATCTAAAACAATTCAAACAAGAAAAATTAGAGCGTGATTTATGTACAAAGCAGTAAAAGATAAAAAAATATAGTTTATAACAGTGAATTATAACAGTAAAAAATTAGAAAATCTTAAATTTGCAGAGTTTCTGAGTGGATTACTCATACCCACCATTTTAGATATAATAACTATCACTTATAGATTGATACCACTGCTGGTAGACTAAATCTATACCACTGCTGGTTGACTTTTCTTTCAAGTGAGGGTCATCTAGCCCACAGTAATTGCTTTTACACCTACCAGATTTAACATACCGGTACTAATACATTTTGTACATGGAAATTCAATAATAATAATAAGAGTCCATCTCCCACTGTCATATTGGCCATTTGGGACAAATAGCTTTAATATTTCAAGGCTTTTATGCCTTGCCCAAAATAGTAGCAGGGCAATATGTTGTTGTGTTTGTTCATCTGTTAGTCAATCAGTTCATCTGCCTGTACTGTATCAGGTCAAAGTTGGGATAAAAGAAGGGAAAGTTTTGGTTTAAGGTAATTTTCCATGAAATTGTGGTCTCAACAAGTTGAAACAAAGAACCTAGTACACATATATAAAATTAAGGAAATGTGGTATCATTGCCAATGAGAGTTCAAATGAAATGGATGTTAGCAATTATAGGCAACCGTACGACTTTCAAAAATGAGAAAAACCAATACCGTATAGTCCGTTATAATGTGAGCTTTTCAAAATGTAAGTAAACTCAATTTCGTCTTTCCTCAGATTGTATCCTTAACACACAAGTTTATCAATGGCACACGAGTTTATTAGAAAAAAAACTGTGTTTATTGGTGTAGAAGATGGTGAAAAAAAACAGTCGTTAAAGAAATAAGTAAAAATATGGATTGGTTTTGAAGAAAATTAATGAGGTTTTAAAAATGTTTCAACCACTTAAAACAATATTACAATATTTCTTATATGTTTGGTCACATCAACTTGAATCTTAGTACACAAAGTCATGTTCATTCCTATGTCAATTTTAAAATATTCACCAAATAAAGGTTTCGACTCAGCCATACAGCTTATTGAACATGAAAATCAGATAGTGTGACTGGGGAATGACGTCCTATAGACACATATTCTTGTTTTCCATGAAAAAGAGCATGTAATGTATATCTCTATGCATCAGCAACAGACAAAAGACATGTTAGTTTGTTCAATTTTTATGCTTTTAGTTAAGTTCAAAATAACTGAATTTTGTGCTAAATCTTTCTACAATTTTTAACATTGCACATAATAGTGTATCAAGGCCTTAATACAGTAAAGTATTTATTTCACAATAGGGTTCAAAATGTGGGTGGGATTGGCTGTGATTGTAGTAATAACATGACTACATGACCAAAGGGCTAGTTAGAGCATGTATCATTAAATGTGTCCTATGTAGATCTGTCAAGAATTTATCATAGACTATTAAAACAATCACATGATTCTTGACAACCAATTATGAAGCCGCTTTGTCACTATAGCTATTGTTTAACTGAAATTGGGGTAAAATTTATTTTCTTTGTTATTTCTTTTGAGGCAAATGTCAAGCTTTTACCAAACGTAGCTTGAGATTTTAATGTCCGTTTAACAGGAAAAAAATCCTAGTGATTTGCATGCCTGAACGTCAAAATTCAAAGTTACAAATAGCTTATTGTAGAATAACGTCTTTCCAAATTAAAAAAAAATAATCCATATTATGATCTCCTATGCCAGGAAGTTACCATAATGCCATAGAAAGACATCTATAGCATGCTTATTTTTGCGTTGTAGTATTCAGATATACATACATTGAACAACTCGATGGTATATATATATATATATGCACTCTCCGCTTGGGGTTGAATCACAAAGTTAGCAAAGTTCAAAATTATTTAATTTATCACATAAAGCACATAGCATATCACATTTCTGACTAATTCATGAGACAATTTCCTAAGTTAAATGTGCAATTGTGCCTATATCACCCTAAACCTTTGCGAAAGACGAAGAGTTAGCACTTGGTATGCTAATGAATATCCTTTATTCAAGCGTCACTGATGAGTCTTGTATAGACGAAACGCACGTCTGGCGTAGAAAATAGTATAAGCCTGGTACCTTTATTCATGAGATATTTTCCTAAGTTAAATGTGTAATTGTGCCTATACCACCATAAACCTTTGCGAAAGACGAAGAGTCAGCACTTGGTATGCTAATGAATATCCTTTATTCAAGCGTCACTGATGAGTCTTGTATAGACGAAACGCACGTCTGGCGTAGAAAATATTATAAGCCTGGTACCTTTATTCATGAGATATTTTCCTAAGTTAAATGTGCAATTGTGCCTATATCACCCTAAACCTTTGCGAAAGACGAAGAGTTAGCACTTGGTATGCTAATGAATATCCTTTATTCAAGCGTCACTGATGAGTCTTGTATAGACGAAACGCACGTCTGGCGTGGAAAATATTATAAGCCTGGTACCTTTGATAAGTATTTACTTTAGTCCTAACTCACTGCCATATTCTGTGAGATTTCGATAATTTGCAAGTATATTTCATTTGTTTACATGATTTATTCTCTTATGCTTGATTTGTTCAGTACGGTATACATTTTGTCTTATATCTACAGTATATCTTGTTTTATTTTAGAAAATGAACAATGTCACTCTCATGCATGAAAGAAATTTAAGCGTGCGTGACTTTGCAACATATAGACTCTTATAAATAAGTATCACATAACTCTTTCAAATCTTGCAATCAAAATACCGGGAGTGTATATCTAAGTAAAGGGTACATGTATGCTTTGTTTATTAAATGCGAAGTAAACCTGAAAATTCTTTTTAAAAAATCAGACGACACGACCGTTTATATATATATAATTCTTAAGAAATTAGAGAAACATAATATTTTTGTAACTCGCAACTCGACCTTCGTAACTCTCAACTCGACCTTCGTAACTCGCGACTCGACCTTCGTAACTCGCAACTCGACTTTCTTAACTCGCAACTCTGCCTTTTCAACTCTGAACTTACAACTCGACAATAAGAAACCCTCCAAAAATCGCTTTTTGTAATAAAAATGGACTGAACGAGTGCACCTTTTTCGTCAAGTTAGATAGGAAGGAGTTACCCGCTTTAGCTTTCGCAAAATTTTCCAAATAACTCAAGACTTAAAAAAGTAAAAGAACAGAGTTTCAATGTCCCCAGCGTTGCACGTATTTCATATTTCCAAGGGGCATAACTCTTTTAAAAAAAGTCGATCGTCCACTATTATAGAACTTGTCCGAGATATTGCTGATATTAACCTATAGTATAAGTTTTATAAAAATCTGGCAAGAATTGTACCCGTGAGAGCGCTAACGAGGCCATTTTCCATAAATTTAGTATTTCCAAGGGGCATAACTCTTTAAAAAAAAAGTCGATCGGCCACCATTATAGAACTTGTCCGAGATATTGCTGATATTAACCTAAATAGAGAGCGCTAACAAGACCGGACGGACGCACGGACGCCCGGTTTTTCCATGTCCCCCGCAACGCGTTACGGGGGGGGGGGGGGGGGGGTTGGAAATTGGACAAAATCTATTCCTTTGAAAGTGCAGAAAATGTTAAAAATAATGCGACATTAAAGAGAAGGAACAAAGACTGGTCTGCTTGAATTTGAAGTTCAGCGGATTGTTACCTTGTGAACCATCACGTTAAAAATCCGACTCAGCGTATTTGTGTATTTCAACGCATGGTTATTAGACATAGTTCCATTTACATGTTCCTAAATATGCATTTATTTAGCAACTGGACGTTAAACAGCCATCCACCATCAAAATCTTTAAGCAAGTTTTTTATTTTGTCTTGAAGCCTCGAAATGTATTCATGAGACGCATGTTTGTATGGGTTCAAAGAAAATAGCACTTTGCAATCTCTTTATGCTTGCCGAAGATTGTTTTCTTAACTAACCAGTAAAATAAAAGTCGGGATCGGAACAACTTCAAATAAAAATACACAACTTATCTTGCATCTTCGCTAGCCAAGGGTTACGATCCAATCCCTCCTCTCTAGCGAAGATGCTTATCTTGAAACAAGCATAGAGATTTTTTTAACAACAAAAAAGGCGAATTTCACCTGTGCATTCCTTAATAGAAACCTGCGTGGTTGTCCGCCAAATATCAACGCGAAATGCTACAACGCACTTGTCTGTCCTCTTTTTTAAGTATGTCGACATGATCATGGCAACGTCTAGCTGTTGAAATTTCAGCTGCAGCTTATCTTGTAAAATCCACTTGATGTCATGACACACGCTTCCTAAAACCACATACCAAAATACGCATTCTTTCAAACAGCAGTTCTGTTTTGGCACCTGTACATATCACAAATTTTGTAATCTAGTATGCTGCCTTTCCTGACTTTAGGACAAGTGTGAACGTATTTTAATTTAAAGCCTAACTTGAAAGAATTAGATATTATTATTTCAGTTCGACGCACGAAAATATATGACCAAAAACCGATCTGTCTTCTTTAAAACACCCACGGACCATTTCTGATTGTTTAAAAATTTGATTCGCCTACCTTACAAAATCTAGTTATCTTACATTTTCTATTGTTACTGAAACCAAGTCGTTGACAAGATTTTCTTTTCAGTAATTTTTATGCTGGTGATGTTTTTCCTGCATGGGTTCATCACACCAAAAGAAGACCCATGCATGATGAATTGGCATTTCAAAATGTATACCTTGGCTAGGACGTTGTCGACGGGGTTGATATTTGACAATTGTTATCTTTACGGCGTATATAATTGGGTGTTTACAAGAACAATTTATAAAGACTTTATTTTCTAACTGGACTATTTAATCAAGAATACCCTTGTTTACCACCTACTGAGAGATTGAAAGATTGATTGATTGATTGATTGATTGTTACTGTTTAACGCAGCTTTCGGCACACTTGACTATTTCAGGGTGGTCAGTGGTTATTGGTGAAGGAATTAAGCCCTAGTACTCGGATAGAACCACCGACTGTCGGAAGGCAGACAGACAATGGTAGTCTATTTAGATCAGAGTTGAACGCACCTGCAACTAGCGGGGTTAGAACTGCAACCTAAGGGTCGACAGGTTAGCGATCATTGTAGATCAACTTCTTAGACCATTAGGACTCCGACCGGCCTCCTACTGAAAGAGTGACTGTTGTGTTAACTATGCAAACAAATCATGGGATGAGTACAAAGGCACTTGTCTCTGAAATCTGAAATTGTGTTATATCAAGGTATATACTTGGATGGATAGTTGTCTCATTGGCACTCATACCACATCTTCTTATTTATATATAGGAAAACAAATTTCAAAGACAAGTGCCTGTGGACGGGTAACTTTTTTACCAGTATGTTTCACTGCCCACGCATTCATAGTCCATCTATCAAAAAGAGAACTTTTGATGCACAAAGTACAGTCACGCTCAAACAAGGTCATTTGCATTTTTTCAAAGTTTCACGTACTATATTACAATTTTCTACTTTATAAAAGGAAATATTGAAGATTAAGAATCAACACTGTGCCGAACGAAAATATCAAAACTATTCCATTTATAGATAATTTTATAATATGAAATATAGTTTACGTTTTGCAAAGCACTTAATTGATATCTGCATCTGCCTATAACTTATGTACGACTAAATTTCTTGTAACTTGAAAACTTCATACAGATTCTCCAAGTCTCGCGATTTCTTCTACAATAAAATCCATGTCTGATTTTTCACAGAGAGGGTTACCCACTATAACTCTGAAGAAATTGACCAATCCTTTTGTTGACATCGGTTGATAACCAATCATCATGGATCCCTTAAGCATCATTCGAGCTTTTATATTTGGTGCTATCTGTGGAATATACATAGATATCATAATATTAAAATGACATAAAATGCTTAGTAGCAAACTATAGAAAACATATTTCAACACGAAAAAGAAATATGATATGAGAACCAACACTGTTAATCAAGTCGTATAACGAATACAGAATCATTATGACCTGATATGTCTACAATCTAGTTTCTTACACACTTACTACAATTGTTTTCCAATTTTCATTTATCCGAATTCAATAACATTGATCAACCTTTGATGTCTGTTAACAAGAACTTTATTTTTTAGTTTACTGATATAAGATGCTGGTGTAGTAAATTTCTTATAGTTCATTTTCTAAATAATCGCATTTCAAGTAGTGTTTGTTAAAGATATCCGAGTGTTTGATGTATATATGTGTTGATTACAGGAAATAAGATGAAAAGAATACAAAAGATTCGTATCCGATACCGGGAATTGAAGATAATTTGGATGCTATGTGTGGATCTCGGATCTCAGTGGTTCTCATCAATGGACTTGGATATGGCTTATCATTCAATACCAGCAGTTATAGCGGACTTCAATTGCATATTATAGTGTTATCTTGATGACATTATTGTTTATCGGAAATCATTTGATGATCATCTTTTAATCCTTTGTGTAGTTAATTTTATTTGTATGTGACATGTCCTGAATTCGAATTAACTAATTTTCGGATTTCCGTCTGTTGGTCAATACTTTTTGTATTCATTATTGTTAACAAGAAGGCGCGCAGTTTACCTTTGCCACTTCTTGCCACCACTCTGGTGTTTCTTCTTTACCTCGTAGCCGTGGTGGAATGTACCAAAATGAAATGTTTGTGCACTGATACTGAAATGTTTAAAGTTAATTCAAACAACTGTAGACTAGCTCACAAAATGAATGTAAAGCTTTTACTATATTGGCACAATGTCTCTCTTAAAATAACTCAAATACAGTTTCAAGATATGGTGTTCAAATCCTTTTTTTCCCATTTTCCCAAACGTTTCTGATTAATTTAAATGGACTTCATATCATTAAATTTAAAATATTAAACCCGTATACAAATAAAAATCAATTTTTAAATCGGTAAAATCGATAACTCCTACTTTAACTACTTTATACTAAACTTTATACTAAACTTTATAATTGTTTCAGTTTGATAAAACATTATAAACTTTACTTAAATTTATTTGATATACCTCAGGCAAAACTAAACGAAATCCTTCTGTTGATCTAACCTTTTCTGTCAAATATCTACAAGTAAATTGGTTTATTTTTATTCTTGATTTTATATTATCGCAATCGTTTAATACAATCATCAGTCGCATAGTGAGCTGTAAAGGCCCCAAAATCGCAAAATGTGAAACAAATAATACTTAAAAAACAACCGGCCTGATTTATATACACAACAGTTTACCTTAAACATATGACAGAAAGCAATCAACGACTACCACTGAATTACACTGAAGACTTGGAAAAGGCGCATACAGAATGTGGATAGGTTAAAATATATTTGTGAGCGCTCAACCACCCCTCTCCCTTTTCCTGGGTCAGTGGTGAAACAACACAACACTGAACAAACAGAAAACATCAGTTTGAAATGGCTTACTCATAAGATTGGCACGAAGCACACAATAAAAAACTAACATAAAACAAAATACACAAAGAACTGTAAAAGTACTCGAAGTTTATAAACGTTCGGGTCTTGAATGATGTTGATTGGTCCTAGGGGACCCCTGTGATAACATGACCCTAGGGACCATATCTAAACTTCCATGTATCACCTAGAGGACCCCTGTGATAGCATGACCCTAGGGACATTATCTAAATTTCCATGTTTCACAGTCTCATGTTGTTTCGCTTGGGGACCCATGTGATAGGATGACCCTTGGAGTCATATCTAAACTTCTATTTTTCACAGTTTCGTGTTGAAGAAGAGTTGTTTTCTATACTGTTATTCAAAGTAACCTCACCACGTGAAAGATATATCGAAGGACCAGTGTTAATGTAACTTATTTGACCATACAAGTTGTTAATTACAGCTTACTTAGCATTTTCAAATGCCTTTTCTACCCTTGCAGCCATTGCTTTGTCACCACGACCCTTCCACATCAACCATACTTTTAAGACATCATTTTTACGACCACACTGGACTGTCCTGTCCCCTGAAAAATACCTGCTATGGAATATCGGTTGGCAAAATTACAAAAAGCGTGGTGGAGAAGCAGCAAATACCAATTTAAAGACTTTGGTTTGACCCGTCACCTCTCGAGTTTGTGGCGATTATGGATTATGCATCTATGAAACCATCATTATAAAGTTACCATACCTAAATAGTATTGTTACCTGAATACTCGTGGGTTATTTACATTATCAAAAATTTCCGTTTCATATGTATTATCATTCTAGTATTTCTTGAATAAACAAATTTAAATACACTACAGCCTGTGTTTTTTTCTTTTTTTTTATGTTCTTTTGCAGGCATTGTTTAGAAATGTACCACGATATTTATGAAGTATAAAACTCACCTATATCATATTCCGTGTCGTACAGTTTATCTGGTTGAAACAGATACTCTGCTCTGTACGCATTGCATTTTTCTAGAAACCCCTATTCGAAAGACAATACTATCATTAATATCATTCTAGTATTTCTTGACTGATAAAAGAAATTATAATACTGCATGTCAAAATACCAGATTTTGATAGGTTAATACGAGGGAGATAAAAGTTTACTCTAATCCACCGACCGTGCGAGGGCTCTATAGTCAGTCAAGGTCGTTAAAACCCCCATAAGGGACTCTAATCCGTGGCAAATACTCTATTCCCCTTCACGGACACCCTTAATCAAGAGCAAACTCAGGAAGAGGTAACAATCTAGATTACCCATACAAACCTTAATGTGAATGTCCCATGTTATTTATATCTTAATGTTTGTTTTTAATTTGTTATTTAGAGAATTAAGTCACTTATTTTTTTCCAAATAATTAATTGCCTATACTCATGAAGATGTAGAGCTTGATACTTGTTTATTGTCGAAGACCGTGAGCTGGGCTCTTGATGTTTTCTCGCATTTATTTAAAATGCATTAACTCACAAATCTGTTAAAAGTTCTTTAGATGGGTACGAAGACGTCATGAATCGTGCATTCATAGCCAAGACTAGAATATAGAGGCATCTTTTTAACATTTGGACAAACACAAGAAAACTTAAGGGATACGGGGGTTTATAGAACATCCCTTCTCTGTATTGTAATGTATACAATAAACCCAACTCAGACAATTGAAAACTGTTCTTTGATCTTTGCTTTGCTTGTTATGGTCATTTTATTATTGTACAGCTTTTCCACATTTGCCAATGTAAAGACAAGATCTCAAAATAAGGTATATTTTGGCAGTATTTGCCCCTTTTTCATAAATGCAAAAAGTGTGAAGGTCTACGGCGATTATGCAAGATAAATTAAATAAAAGAAGATTATGTCTGGGGACAAGAATGCCCCCGCTCAATTTTTGCAATTCTGCTAGTTAAAAAGGGTATAACTCTAGAACCGTAAGTGACTCACTGTCCAAATTCGAAAGCTGTCTGCGAGTATAGGTGCTTAGCATTGTGTACGAGTGTCATCAAATTTGGATAAGGAAAACTTAAGTAAGAGTGCGAAAACAAAAATGGGACGGACGGAAGGACAGAAACACGGAAAGACGGAAAGACAGAAGGACGGACGGTCAAGGGTAACACTTAATGCCCCCTTTGCCTACGTCGGGGCATAACAATATAAATACTATAAATGATGTTACTATTTGACAGACTAATTACATGTATAATCATTTATAATACGTACAAAAAAACAATGGACAAAACAAGTGGTTAGATCATACTTTCTCCGTTTTTGTAATAATGTTCTATATGAACGTACCTTTTCTTTTACAACCAATGCAGAACACTGAATACCAGCCCCAGACATTTTATGTATATTCCATGCTACAGAATCCGATCTATAAATCGAAAGAAAGATATTACATTTTAAAATCTAAATTAAAAAAAAAACGAAACGAAAATGTTGAAACTATCTAAGTACATGTACATATATATACTGCTTGACAAAAGATGACAAATACCAAAATTAAAAAGAAAACACATGACTTAAAATGAATTATGCTTTCATTTTAACTATTCATTCAAATCGGAAGGAGTCTTTAAAGTCCGTACCCTACAGAAAATCCAAAGAGGTCGTAGGCGTCTACAGCGTTGTTTTCAGAAGCCGCTAGTGTTAAGACAACTCTCATTTGACAACGTCACACAAATACGTTTATTTTATATACGTTTTAGAATGTTAATTTAAACTAAATGTATTAAGTTGAATGTGTGGAACTTCGTCATATGCCTGGATGTCCTTGCTTACACTAGATGTAAAGATTTTCTTATAAGTTTTGTTAAATAATACATGTAGTTTTAAATTATTTATTACCTCTCGACTCCTTTTGTTAAATGTTTCAACTTATCCGACAGCATAACACCACCTCCCCAAGCTGCCTACAGAAATAAGATTTAACAAATCAGCACCATCTTGTATATAAAAAACATTCTAACTGCCGATAACATCCGAATCATGTGCCAATTGTAAAAGTAACATGAAAGAAAGCTGACTGGTATAATGTGAAACATCCAATTTCAGAAGTTATATAACACCATGAAGCTTGAAAAATTCATATTAAAAACAGATACAAATAACGAATTTGAACTTTACACTACAGTAAAACAAGCGTAAATATTTTTCATTAACTTTTTTTTCTTTATCTGTGTTTTTGTCATAAGACAACTTAACATATTTTTAAACAGTACTTACATCTACGTGCATCCATACATTATGACGCTTACAAACATCAGCTACAGCTTCCAAATCGTCATAAGCACCAAGCACTGTAGTTCCACATGTCGCCATAAACATGACGGGTGTAGTTTTCTTAGTAATTAAAAAGATTGATATTAAGATAAGTAAACTATACACTACTTGAGGTACGTGCAATCCTTTAGTTTTTTTTTTAATTTTTATGGTCAATAATATAGTGTTATTAACTGGCTGTTTCTGTATTGGCCCTGTTATAGATTCGAGGTAAGCAGTATTGGCCCCGAGACTCGTAGAGTCGAGGACCAATACAGCTGATCGAGAATCTATAACGTGGCCAATACAGAAACAGCCAGTTCATAACACTTTTATTAAACGATTTAAATTCTTCGTTTAAACCAAGAAACTTACCGTAAAAAAAGATATAGGAATTCATATTGAACTTGTCTTTTCGCAGTTACGATGCATTATGAAATTTCTGATTTCGCGTCCAAGTACTTAATAATTGCTATTTCAATTCATTTTATCTAGAAAGTATAAAGTAGCTTGGAATAATAATTCAGACAGTTAACCTATTCTTACTCTTGAATCATCTGCGTTCTGATGATTGAAAAACGGAAATTAAACAGTGATAATAATCGAAAGTTTTTCTCGAAAAGGCCGTTTCAAATCACGGAACATTATTCAAACTTTTTTAAATTTAATTCAAAATTACATAATACGAAATGTATCTTATTTATAACAATACGTCCAAACTTGAGTAAAAAAATGGAACCGGAAGTGAACGTCCCGTATTAGCCCATAGGCCAATGCGGCTAAAAAAATGAAACCGGAAGTCAACGTCCCGTATTAGCCCCATGGGCCAATACGGCTTTTCCCGTAATGGACCGGTCCGAAAAGCAATATCAGTAAGTCATGATCTATATTAACAAGGCAACGACATCAGTTTTGCACATTCTGATTTATCCTATTAGGGCTGATTTGCTCATATCATTTAATAAATGTGTTTACAAAAAGTATTTTCGGGTAGGTCTTCTCTTGATGAAATCTGGTAATAATCATGATCAGTTCCGAAGATTTTACGAAAAGTAAAAATAGACAAAAGTTATAGTCATTGTTATTTTTGTGATTACATGGGTATACTTCGTAAACTTACATTTTGTTTGCATTGTTGAATTTTGTTTTCTAAATCATCTGGAATAACTCTACCTTTGTCGTCAGTTTTCACTTTTACTATACTATCTGTTCCAAATCCGAGAAAGTTGGCGCCTTTTGCTAAAGAGTAGTGTGCATCCTCAGATGTCAGAAGGGCCATTGGTTGAATACCAAACACTCCTTTTTGTTTGAGTGTTGGATCATATTTGAGTTTAGCTAAATGTATAGCCATTATATTGCAAAAGGAACCACCTGAAACACAAATTAGCTTTGGATTCTTAGGTATGAATAGAAAGAGATGAAACATATACGCCAATGAGACAGCAACCCAATGGTACGTAAAACCAAAAACAATGGAGTTCAACATTCGGGCTGCTGACTGTCAGGGAAATGCCTAGATTCCAAATCCGTGATTATAGTTTCTACACTTTTTTGAAGATTTTACAAATGATATTTTTTACATTTGGAAATTGTTGTTTTAATATAATTCTAATCTGTATTTAACATTAAAATTAAATAGAATTGTGCGTTAGTACTGAATTATCAACAATTAAACGATGCAGTTACATATATATAACCATGTCCAAGACCTTTAATTGATTGATTGATTGTTGGTTACTTAACGTCCAGTGGCAAATATTTCATGCATGTTCAGGACGAGAACAAATTAACAATAAATAAAATAGGTAGTTTCTGTAGTAGAGGCAATCCGGGATGATGGTCGGGAAATTTAGACTGCCACTGAAAAATGAGGGTATACTGGATAGAGACAGAAATTTTGCCTTGCAACAGACCACCTACGGATCCCTCAAAGAGTTGTTATAAGGGTTCTTAACGTGCAGAGAGCGTGGCACTCTCTCTACACAAGGCATCGGATTTAAAGTCCCCATTTTGAAGGACGGGGCTGCGTACTTGTACATCCCGCACAGTCAACCGGATGACCCACTTTGCAAGGGTTTACTGCCGGTCGGAAGAAGACCTGTAGTGACCATATTTCTATTCCCAGTCACCCTTGGGGTACCTTTAATTGAAAGCATCATCTGTGTGTTGATTTGTTTCAGTAAGTACAGAGAAGGCGTCGTAGACAAGACGAAGTACACAAAATAAAAAAGTGGTAAAGTGATACCTGGACAAAAGACGCCTTCACCATCTTGGTACCTAATAATTGATGATAACTTTTTAAAAATATAGTTTTCTAACGTAACCATTACCGGTGCAACTTCATACGTGTGCCTGAAAATGAATATATCAGTAAGTTATTGGAATTAAGAAAATGGGAAGAAGCTAAGAGTCAATTTTTTTAACAGAAAACCTCATGGCCAAAAGAATTGTCAATAAAACAGCACACAAAAAGTAGACCAAAAGTAACGCTTCATAAAATCCGAGTGTAAAGCTAAATGTATTTGTTCTAAAGCGTCCTCATTTCACATTAGAGAATTGACAAAACAAAAACTTGTTTAAAAAGGGGAGGGGGTATGTAAAATCGAAAAAAAGGTTCTGCTGTCCGTTAAGTGAAAAGTAAGTACTTACAACTTTTTCAGCAATGTCATTTCTGTTTTAAACAAGTATTCTGCTGCATATCAAAAGGATAGAATATGATTCTCAATGAAACTTGAAAATTAAAACAAACCATGATTTACAACAATTCGATTGAACCTCATATGGTTCCTGAAGTAAAGTAATATATACCTAAATTTTATTGAACATTTAAAATTCTCAACTTTAAAGAGAAGGAAAAGCGTTTTTTTTTTTAATATTTATAATTCAGCCATAAAAGACCATACATCGTACACTCACACATTACAATTGAGAACCTCAGCTAGCCATGCTCCAAAAAGACTGTATGGATCAATGCCACTGTAAAGCTGGTTAAAGAAACGAGGATGACCTATAAAATACGCAATAATATCGTCATAATTATATGTATAAATGTATTATTTTACCAGAAATTTACAGAGCAGTGAGAAAAGGAGAAAATTTAGTAAAATTAAAACAAAAATTACCAGAAACGCTATTTTAAGAATTAAAAAAAAACGTTAGCCTTCCTCCATATAGCTAACAATAATTAAGAACAACCCTTCCCACTCCCAAATAAAACAACAAAAACTTCCAACAAAACAACGAAAAAAACCCGACACAAACAAACAAACAAACAAACGACGATTTTACCCAAATTGCCGGCACTGTGCCTGTTTTATATTGCTATTTTCAATCCAAAACAGATTAATTTCTTTGAAAGTCTTAATACTGATAAGAGGAAACACTTATAACCTATTGCAAACCCTAATGGTCGAGATTATAAAGGTTATCAGCTAGTTATGGAACAGAACGCAGGCAAATTTAATAAAAAAAAGTATGTGTCAAACGTCAAACATTCAGCTGATAAAATTTCTACCAAAAGCATAACCAAATTACTCAAAGAGACGGCTATTACCCTTACTTCAGAAAGAGCATTAATTTCCATCATTCAGTAACATGTAGCTAAAGCTAAAGTGAAGCAATACTTCAAAGAAATAGCATTAAGACACAAAGTCTATTCTGTTTTAATCGACGGAAACAAAACACAGATCCTTGCTAAAATCACGATCGACAGATAGATGAGGGACGTCGGAATTAGGCCTTTATTTTTTACGGGAATTCGAGATTTACACTTAGCGGGTCGGGATTTAATGATTCATTTTTCGGGTTAAGACAGAGAAAGACTTTTTTTTCGGAAATTCGGGATCAGCGTTTATTTTTCCGGGAATTCGGGATGACACATCAAATATCCATGTATCAGAAGGACATTGCACCAATCATATCGTACAAGCCATCCGCCATTCCATCAATCAATATGATGAAAATAGGACAAGAAGAAGAGTGGGTTAACTCGTTTACAAATTACTGTCACAGAAAACCTTCCATCAAATAGTTTGAAGTATAACGTTTCTGTTGATTCTAAAGGTTCCAGAGGTAAACAAATCAAACGGTTCAACTTCTAACTTTAATGAAGATGAAGCAGACGTCCGGACAGAAAAGAATTAGACATTTGACAAACTTGATGCCAAACTTGATGCCAAACTCACTGCACACTAGCATAGGAAAACTGTATAGAAAAATAACACTTGATATTTCTCAAACAAATTTCAGACATGCGCTAGTGGTACCTTATGCAAAAAAGTAGTCTGTCAGGCAAAGGAACTATACGTAAACAACTTAAAATCCAGACGGCATGCAGATCTGTTTACCTTATTAATATAGCACCGGTATTTGTGTAAAAAATGTGAATGAGTATAATAGCTATAATTCATAAGCATATTTATCAAACAAATTGTAAACAAAAAGAACAACAAACTGCCTTTCACTCTTACCTCGTGCATCTCAAATAATACTAGTATAGTAAATTAGAAAGAATAAGCAGATTTTGTGTGTCGTTAACGTTGGTATGTTAAACATGTTTATCAAACGGTACCTGATACAACACTGCCATCTATCACTTTCCTTCCTAATTCCAACAACTTCTCGCGTGACACAGGTTCTTCTTCAATTTCTACGTCTAAAAATTTCTTTAAAAAAACAAGCGTAGTAAACAAAAAATCAAAAACAAAAAACGGAAGTCTTTTACACAAGAACTCTTCCGTCTCGGATTTATTAAGGTTTATCACTTAAAAGATAAACCAATTTAATGAAAGAGATTTGATTAATATATTTATTTTCCATAAAGACATATTTCATCATTCGGATCCGCATCTCGCTTCCGGCTTAGAAACATCGATTTCTAATCAGATATGAAACCACCGAAAAGGCCTCGTAATGTTCCCAAAAAGGTTTCACAGCAGCCTGCAGGTCCAGCAAAGAAATTTAGAAAAGGCAAAGTGCCGTCAACACGAGGAGCACTTTCAGAATCACAGAACACGACAAGAACCGTACAAGTTTCTAGAACAGCGACCGGTTCTAATTTGTCAATTGCTAGTGGTCCGGCAATTAACATCGTAGCAGACGCACATCAGGAACCCCCATTCGTGCCTTTCAGGATTCAGGATGAGATGGATATAGAAAGTCCAAATTGCAACGAGGAAAACACACTGGACAGACCAAGGGGAGCTTTGTTACCACTGAATCCACAACCAGGCCCCAGCGGGGTGAAGAGTCCAGCAAACAACCTTGGTATGTTAACTGTCTCAAATCAATTTGTTTCACACGGGTCGGCAGGTTCTGGGTCTTTAGATACTCGTTTACAAGTGGACCAATCCCCTCCATACATTTCAAGTGTTTTTGATCCCATTTCATCCCATATTCCGGTCAAAATTAAAGAAAAAATATGGAACGGTGAGTTCATTGACCTGAACATTCTTCTAAAATCCACCCGGGACCTTGTAAACGAGCAAAATTTAGAGGGTGAACTGGTAGTAAAAGGGGGTGTTTTATCCTTAGTTAACCAAAAGAGAAGTCCCATAAAAAGTATTCATGTCTGGACTTCCGCATTCATGATTTATGGAAGTGTAATGCTTGAAAAATGGCCCAACAAAGGTCTGGAGTTTTTCAAATACATGCAAACAGTCAGAATGGCAGCCTCAAGGGGTTACTCTGGAGGCTGGGTTCATTACGATGAGCAATTTAGATTACGTAAAGCTTCTTCCCCCTTTTCTTCATGGGGAGTTGTCGATATGGAACTGTGGTTGCTATGTGTATCTACTCCGAACGTTAGTCCTTCTTTTAATACAGGACTTTCAAATGGTAATAACCATCAATTGCACAATGGGAATTCATCGACAAGTGGGGCGTCGAGTCAAAATTTAGGACAACGCCGGGTGTTTACATGCAGATTATTCAATAACAAGGGTATTTGTACATTTGGCAAGAATTGCAAATATACTCACAAATGCTCGAAATGTAATGGTAGTCATCCCTACTTAGAATGCAGAAATTAATTCCGCTTTGTTTTTATTTACCTTGTTTTGTAAATATTCTTTTTCCCTAGAAATTATATTTAGATATCTTTCAGTGCAATTGAACTTGTTTCATAGAAATGGCCGAGTTATCTCTCCTTGTACTAGTACAAATGTATTTACTATATTTTCTCATGTTATTTAATTTGTGTTTGTTTTTGTTTTTAATTTGCAGGTTACACGCATTTGTATTCTCTAGGTAATTCGCCAATAAACGTCGATGAAGTAAAGAAAGCTCTCATAAATTACCCGCATCAAGAGGTTGCGCGAGACCTGATCCAAGGTCTCGAAGCTGGGTTTAAACTAAAATACTCCGGTCCGAGACTTCCTGTGGATATAGATTCTAAAGAAATGAATGGGGAGAAAGCCACCATAGCTAGGGAAAAAATCTTTAAAGAAATTAACCTGGGAAGGGTAGCTGGTCCTTTTTCAGAACCTCCGTTCCCCACCTTTCGGGTTTCTCCGATCTCGGTTATCCCTAAAAAATCTAGTTCAGAATTCAGGTTAATTCATAATTTGTCCTTTCCTATACATCACTCCGTTAATGACTTTATTGACAAGCAGTACTGTTCTGTAAAATACTCAAGCATAGACGACGCTGTCAATATGATTCACAGATTGAAAAAGAACACGCTCTTGGCCAAGTGCGACGTAAAATCGGCTTTTCGTTTGCTAAGACTCTCTCCGGGTGATTTTGATCTGATGGGGTTCAAATTTGAGAATCAATATTTCTTTGATAAATGCCTCCCAATGGGGGCCAGTATTAGCTCGGCGCTATTTGAATCTTTTTCCACCGCCTTGCATTGGGTTGTACAGCAACAGTCAAAAAACGTCAATATTTTACATTATTTGGACGATTTTCTGTTTGGAGGCGAGGCACAAACTTCACAATGCCACGACACTTTGAAGTGTTTTCAGGATTCTTGTAAACTTTGGGGGGTTCCGTTAGCAGAGGAAAAAACGGTCGAGCCAACGGAAGTGTTGATATTCCTTGGTATAGAATTTGACACCATCAACATGGTAATGCGTCTACCCGAAGACAAACTTGTTGAGTTAAAATCCAGAATTTCTTTTTGTTTAGGTAGATCCAAAATCACCCTTCGGGATTTACAATCATTGATTGGCATACTAAATTTTGCATGTCAAGTAATTGTCCCGGGTCGAGCCTTTTGTCGTCGTTTGATTGACGCCACTTGCAATTTGCGTAGGCCCCATCACAGAACCAGAATAACTAAGGCTATGAAAGAAGACCTTAATATTTGGTTACTATTTCTATCAAATTACAATGGTACTACCGTAATTCTGGATAAATTCTGGTCATCTAACTCTGATCTCGAATTGTTCACTGACAGTGCAGGTGGGGTCGGAAAAGGCTTTGGTATTTATTTTGAAGGGAAATGGGCCCAGGCGAGTTGGCCCCACAATTGGATAATTTCTGGAATTTTAACCGATATTACCTTTCTAGAATTGTTCCCTGTAGTCGTTGCTTTGAACATTTGGGGAGGCATGTTAAAAAACAAGAAAATTTTATTTCACATAGATAACCAGAGCGTAGTTTCTATAATCAATAAAAAGTCTTCAAAGTCGACAAGTGTTATGTCCCTGATCAGAAAACTTGTATTGGCCTGCTTGGAATACAACATATTGATTAAAGCCGAACATATCCCAGGTCATTTGAATTCTCTTGCTGACTCCCTCTCTCGTTGTGATTTTCAGAAGTTCCGGAAACTATGCCCCACAGCAGATGCAAACCCATACACGATTCCGGCCCACCTCTGGAAAGGTTAAAAGACGAGGCAGACCTATTACTTAAATGTTCAATGGCTCCCAACTCCTGGAAAACTTATAAAACAGCAGTAGAATGTTTAAAAAAGTTTCGCATTATTTATAACTATCGTGATATTTGGCCTGTACCTATCGACGAAATAGCTCAATTTATAGCATACCTGTCGTACAAAGGTTTCTCTGCGTCTACTGTTTCTACTTACATCTCCGGATTGGCCCACACACACAAGATTAACAATGTAACAGATAACACGAAATCATTCATCATCTGCAAAATGATTGAAGGATTGCGTAGAAAAAATCCGCAAAAACTAGATGTTCGAACGCCGATATCGTTTGACTTGTTAAAACGTTTAATTCACAGTCTACGCAGCGTTTGTAATTCTCAGTATGAAACTATATTGTTTTCTTCTGCCTTTTCTCTTGCGTACTTCGCCATGCTACGAGTAAGTGAGTTGGCTATAAACAGTCGTACTGACGAAAGCGGACATGCATTGAAATGTGAAGATATCACTTTTGTTCAGAGTAATGGTCAAACCGAATTACATGTAAAAATATGCAGCTCAAAAACCGATCAAAAGCATAATTCCATAACCCTGATCATTCAGAGCCATGCCGATTCGAATATCTGTCCAATTACGCTATTGCAATCTTATTTGCAGGTTCGCTTCTCCGGCGTAAATGGATCTAATAAATTATATACACATTTTAATGGTTTGGCCTTAACAAAATATCAATTTTGTTCCCTGCTTCAAAAATGTTTGGGTTTCTGTGAACTACCGTTTCACATCCGTTCTCATTCTTTTCGGATAGGACGAGCTACTGATATGGCAAAAAATGGTGTTAAAGACGATATTATCAAGCAGTGCGGCCGATGGTCCTCCGTTGCATATTTACGCTATATTCGTATCTGAGTCTTTAACTTTCATTACAGCTCAAACAAGTGTTTTAAATATTATAATTCATATTGCCTCCTTTTAGGTTCAAAAGCTATTTGGTTCGTCGGATCTTCAATTGTATATTGGGCACAGACTAATGCAAAAACGAGAAACGGGGGCCCAAACATTGGTCTTCAAAGCAGAGGGGTGTACATACGCTGGTTTGGAAAAAGGGGTATGTTGTGGAATGAATTTAATGCCAAGGTATCACATGCAGTTGACAAATTTTCTCCTCCCGCCATGATAGTCATTCAGCTTGGTTCCAATGATCTGGTAAAAGTAAAAACCTTGGAACTTATCCAAAATATTGAAAGGGATATTCTGCGTCTGCATTTACTTCTACCTAACACTCGCATCGTATGGAGCGAAATGCTAATGCGTAGGTATTGGCACGGTGCTAAAGACGGAAAAGCTATCGAGAGATCTCGCAAACGAGTAAACTCTTCTATTAACAATTATGTCTTGAATGATGGGCATTGTATTATTCAGCATCCCAATATTCGAGCTCGAGAGATGAACTTGTATAGATTTGACGGAACTCACTTATCCGATATTGGATTTGATATATACTTGAACAACATACAGGGGGGTATTGAAACTTTCCTCTCATCTCACAAAATTCGCCGTTTCCCCGAAGTCTAATTTGGAAAAGAATTTCTAAGAATTTTTCAAGGGGTTGAAAAAAGGGGGGGGGAGTATTTAATGAGTGTGTATAGACTCACTCACGTGGCAAGATTAAGGGGTCATGATCCGTTCCTGTATTGTACGTCGGATCATATTAGTTTTTTACTTTCCTGCGTTACCGCAGGAAGTTCTGTTGAGACCATCTCATGTCTACCCTGAGTGGCCGGTTCTGAATTGGTACCAGTTCGAGCTTAACTGTTTTATGATCTAAAAATTGTTAAATTGTTAATCTTTACTCCCCTGAAACCAGGGGGTGATGCGAATAAGACCCGACGTATTTGGGGATCATGGCCCTCGTTCTCTTTAGGATTTAACCTGGAGGAACTTGAGCATCCATTGCTACCAATGGTGCACAGATTTGTCAGTTAAATCAATCATGTCGGCATTCTGTTATCATGTCAGACCTCGTCATTCAAAGTGAACTGTGGCCGTTAATTCCACATAAATTGTTTGTTTGTTATGCTTTGCCTTAGAATTGATTCTTTAATTAATAAGGTTTATCACTTAAAAGATAAACCAATTTAATGAAAGAGATTTGATTAATATATTTATTTTCCATAAAGACATATTTCATCATTCGGATCCGCATCTCGCTTCCGGCTTAGAAACATCACGTGACTTCAGCCTCACATTTGAACTAGCCGCTTCTAGATAAGTGAAAGTTTCAAAAACCCACCCACCTCCCCTCACAATCTACCAACAATTACTTGTGTCTGCTGCTGTTCTATTCATTTTTCAGGCTGTTCAGAGAAAAGCCTGATACATAATACGTTGGGAAAAAATAAAGATGACTAGACTAAGCCGATGGAATTGCTTGCTGAACAAACTTTTGAGAACTATCGTATTCCAAATTTGAGTGAGTGTTATACAGTTTTACCAGGACAATCAGCCACCAGCAATGTGATTGGAACAATCAGTATGATTATTTAGTTTATCCACCAGGAACACATATAGAACTTTAAATTTTTGTTATGAACTTTCAGCGTTTATATCTCAAATAATAGTATAATTGTTCATTATATGGTAATAAAATGTTTAGTCACAGTAAAAAGTTGTTTGGCGGGATCTGGCAAGATTAAGGGGTCATGATCCGTTCCTGTATTGTACGTCGGATCATATTAGTTTTTTACTTTCCTGCGTTACCGCAGGAAGTTCTGTTGAGACCATCTCATGTCTACCCTGAGTGGCCGGTTCTGAATTGGTACCAGTTCGAGCTTAACTGTTTTATGATCTAAAAATTGTTAAATTGTTAATCTTTACTCCCCTGAAACCAGGGGGTGATGCGAATAAGACCCGACGTATTTGGGGATCATGGCCCTCGTTCTCTTTAGGATTTAACCTGGAGGAACTTGAGCATCCATTGCTACCAATGGTGCACAGATTTGTCAGTTAAATCAATCATGTCGGCATTCTGTTATCATGTCAGACCTCGTCATTCAAAGTGAACTGTGGCCGTTAATTCCACATAAATTGTTTGTTTGTTATGCTTTGCCTTAGAATTGATTCTTTAATTAAATACGCTATTTATATAGTATATATTTTTAGTACAATTACAAAATCATTACGGTCCAAATCACTAATACTGAGCAATAGTGCTATTTACTCAACACAAATGAAAATAATAAAGCAGAGTAATGTAAATATTTATCAATTTGAAATACAATATACAAAATACGGAATTTCAAAGTATACGATCGAAAGGGATCAAATGTGACATTAATGTGTATTATGACAAAGAAAATCTACGCTTAAAGTTTACCCGTATTATTCACTTAATTATAGCTTGTACAATGAACAATTGAACTGCCAATAGGTCACCTGTATGTTCCACATTCGTAAAAATGTTCTTTACATCTTATGCGAATACAGATCTGGAGCAATGGTAGCCAATCTGATTAAAATTCAGATCTATAACAACTCGCGTGCCCGTATATATAAGCTCATATGAGGATAACGAAATCAAAGATCTATATTTTAATTAGATTGTATGGTAGCATATCTGCTTTGTGTCAAATTTAGGGCTGTTCAATGTCTTGTCGTCTTTTAAAGTTGACCGTAGCTCAATTTGACGGTTCTTTATATGTCCATTTTGGTCATATATATAGCTCCTAATTTTTCTACGTATTTATATATCCCTGGCTTTCAAATGTTTCTGTTCGGGCGGTCTTAAAACTTAACTCAGTACTAGGAGTACAAAATTTGTGCTCGAAACATCAAATCCAACATTTTGATTGGTTGAATTCTGAGTCTGAATACGATCATCGTATAATTCAAATTAGTATGACCGCATTCACTAGAGAAGGTAAATCCAAAAACAGCGCATCGAATGCACAAAATGTATAATGAGTTATTTTCTTTTTAAACCATCAGGAATGTTGTCACCTAAGTTATATTTCACTTACTTGCAAGTCTAAAGGTTGTCTAAAATTGATGACTTTAGTGTTTGGATCTGTTTGTGGTGTGAGAGCTTCATCTTGTATAAGTTTACTAAAATCCTTTACAAATTGTTGAATTTCTGGTTCTGCGTAACTATAATCTATAATGCGTATACGTATATGTATATAAACACATTGGTTTTATTCTTTAATAGCAATAGAACCGCTGACTGTTGGAGTATTTAGGTAAGTGCAAAAGCAATAACTCAGAAGCTTTGAAAAGTGAATTAAATCGCCGTAAAAATACTTTGCCCAAATAGAAATGATTCTTTGGTGGAAATATTTAGGATTGAAATTTATTATTTAAACAATTGTTTGTTCAACAATAACAAGTAATTCCATTTACCATTTGCGTACATACTAGATAGTTTTTTATCCATTAAAACGTGCAACGTTTTTGTCACTCACCTTTTCGATCATCCATCATTCATTTATTGTTTGAGCAACCGTTTATGTAAGTTACATAAAAATCGAATAAAATCGACACATCCTGTTGTCATGAATTATGTTATTTGAAATATATGCACTTTATGGCCATTTAATAATGTAAAGTCAAATATAAAATGCGATAAACTATTACAGAGCACGACTGCATCAAATCGACGAATGGCGAGGGTTAAATATCAAACCAAGCAGAGTTCCATCTTAGTTAACAGAAAATTATTCATTTACCTACATTCGTATCAAATGCCGATTGAGCCACATATATATACTTTTTAATAAATCCTTCGACAAAAAAAATGGACCTATTTTGTGAATTTTATAAAGAACTGGAAGATTAAACATTCGTCATAGAGAAAGATACTAACTAATGCTCTTATTTGAGCAAATTCATTTGTATTCTGTCATTAAAAAAAGAATAAATAAATCACCTAGATATATCTTAACCGACCATACAAAATGAATATTCCACTAAAAAAGAGATTTATAGTTAGAAAAGTTATTTACTAGTCCACCTGGAAACGGGAAATCGGACCAATTGTGTATCCAAGCTAGATAGATATAAGAAGATGTGGTATGAGTGCCAATGAGACAAATCTCCATCCAAGTCACAATTTGTAAAAGTAAACCATTAGAGTCTGGTGATCTTTTCTAATTAGAATATGATGATGTCAGGTCTTGCTGCGAAGTGTCTTACATTATTCTCACTCAAAGAATTATTCATTGTATTTTGTTTTACACATCGGCGAGACCCTGTTACCGACTATCATTACGGCAGATTCAACACAAAACAATTGTTTTTGCTATCATTTCGGCAGATTCAACGCAAAACAATTGATTTTGCTATCATTACGGCACATTCAACGCAAAACAATTGATTTTGCTATCATTATGGCAGATTCAACACAAAACAATTGATTTTGCTTTCATTACGACAGATTCAACACAAAACAATTGTTTTTGCTATCATTACGGCAGATTTAACACAAACAATTGTTTTTGCTATCATTACGGCAGACTCAACACAAAACAATTGTTTTTGCTATCATTACGGCAGATTCAACACAAAACAATTGTTTTTGCTATCATTACGGCAGATTCAACACAAAACAATTGATTTTGCTATCACTACGGCATATTCAACACAAAACAATTGTTTTTGCTATCATTACGGCAGATTCAACATAAAACAATTGTTTTTGCTATAATGTATAGCAGATGTTTGTTTACATTGCAATAACGATGGATTTTGCAATCGTGAATTACAGATTTTGTTCTGTGTTACCTGTTTCATCTGCTGTAACGATAGCCGGTAACAGAGTGTGTTTTATCCAGTCTCACAAGCGAAGATTTGCTCAGTTATTTTTCGTCTTCTCCTGCTTTCTCGCACCTAAACATATCTACAAAAGCTCTCAGAAACCGTCCCAGAAGTTAAACTGTTCCAGAACAAAGGCTAAACTGTGTGGGATGTAAATTGCATTATTTAATACGTTTATATTTCAGCAGAATAACAGGGCAGATGTCTCCATACTAGTCAGGTAAGGGTAAGTCACGGAATCGTATCCAATTATTCTATTAATTAAACATCTTTGGTCCGTGTTATTCACTATATTACTTCTTATACATAAATACCTTGTGCTATTGACTTGGAGGAGGTCTGGCTCGCCATGGTTCTGTTTCTGAACAAAAAAGAACTGTGCTTGCTATATAACAGTCTGGTTAAATTTGGTATAAGCTTATTCATAACCCATCTGTCTGTAAGCGAATGTTTAACTGTAATACAAACAAATGTAATGATACATATACACATATATTGTACTTGCCGACATTCAATTAGAAAAAAAAAACACATTTAGTTTCTTCTAACATACAGAACAACAGCATTTGTGCATGTAGCTACTATAAAGTATAATTCATAACTTTATAACTGTTCACACGAAGCTAAAAAGTTTTGAATATGGAACCACAGGCAAACTCATTCGTGATCTTACAATAATTTTGCCAATTCAAAAACAACGTTCTGCAAAATATGGTCGCGACATTGACCTTTGACCATGATGACCTTAAAATCAATAGGGATCTTCCTCTTATTATGTATGACTATATATATAACTATAAGGTTGTAATCCCATATATGTAGTATTTGATTTAGCGTCCTGAAACAACTTTTCTGCACTTTTCTGCACTTTTCAGTCTATTTTAGTAGCCACGACCTTGACCATTGACATGGTGACCTCAACGTCTAAAGGAATCTCCTCTCATCATATGTGACCATATTTCCAAGTAAGGAAGCAACCCGTAATAAAGTATTTGAGCATCCGGGAATGAAAATGACTGACGGACTGACTGACGGACGGACGAGTTAAAAACGAAACAGTGACCCACTACTCCGTAGCGTTGGGTATGATTGCAACAAATAATGGAGGGGGGAATGTCATTTATTATCATCCAGATTACTATAACTGCTCAATATATGTTGTTTGTATAAGCGCAAATAAAATGTTTTAATTTATGCAGATTATATATGTGCAATCTTGAGAATTTGCGAAACTTAACATTGGGACAAATGTATCATAGTGCAAGTTAACAATGAATTGGTGCAAAAGAACGATAAATTGGCACAAAAGAACGATAAATCAGCGCAAACGCAAAACTCCATTATTATATACAAAAACTCAGTATTTGCTACTTTGCAATAAATACGGTAACTAAAAATCGAATATAAATATCAATACTTTCTAAACAGTTCCTGGACATTTTTGCAGACAATAACCTGCAAATTATAATTGAAGTATAATAGTACATTCAAATTAAAGATAAATCTTGACTGTTGGTTAGGTACTCGGAGTAATAGCAGGTGTTCCGACATATATTATACTCCGACCGACTATGGATCGAATGAAGCATTATATACGATATTCAGCATGCCCGTGTTTGTCTCTTTTTTTCATTTGGAACCCCAAGTACAGCCTAGGATTTATAAAAACGCAGCCACATCCAGTCGATTTGCATATCAACTTCAGTAATTTTTAGGTGTGAAATACCAAATCTACTTTCACCAAGAACATTTGATTATTGGAGAAGGCAGACCGATTTTCCATTCAACGATCTCGCCTCATTTAAATCGTGCATTCTGTTACTTGAATAAGTTCGATTGTTTTTCATATAAATAGTAGTATATCTATTTTAAAAATCATATTTGCTCATCACAAAAACTTAGTCCAGCCCTGGCAAATGCGACTTGTTTTCAGTTTTGTTATTTTCTGCTGCAACTGTGTCCGACTACCCTCCATTACATTCAATGGTGCAAGCTCCCGGGGAAAATTTCACGGGGACGATTGGAGCCATGTCAGAGTGTTCTAATACAATAATTGGTTGGCAATGTTAGATTTTTACGTAATTTAGTTACTTGAAAACTGAAGGAGAGCTAGACTCAGTGACAGCAGAAAATAGCAAAACTGAAAATAAGTCACTGAGGCCAGGGCTGGACAAGACCGACACCTAGCATTGATATCATCACATTTGTTTTGAAAGATCTTATGTCGCAAAGGCCTGACATAAACTACTATTCATAACAAAATTGAAAAGTTTCGTTCACAATTTAGAACACCTACCTTAAGTTTGTTTCAATTGAGGTCAAACATTTTATCTTCAGTATTGACTTAGGTAAAAACTGAGCGAGATTAAGCGGGTAATTCGAAAGATACACCGAGCATAAATGTTCATATATATAATACATATATGTATATGTTGTGTACAAATTGTAATGTTGTACAAATTATAATTTGTACAGTATTTTTGTACAAGTTATCAGTATTTTGTAAATCTCTTTACATAATTAGATAAAATAAGCACAGTGTCTTTGGTTAAGCTTATCACTGTTGTATTTCCACAACTACATGCTACAGTCTTGCACACAGTACTGACATAAAGTTTATATAAAAACACTAAAAGATATTTTGTGGACATAGAATTTGGTATAAGTAAAAAAATAAAAATATAATCTAAACCAATCAGGTGTCCTTATTTGTAGTTTTATGACATAGGGGACAGTGCTTAATGTTAGGCTGAAGTATATAAATTTGTGAGTAAAACATCGAACTGGATAATTATTGAAGATAAACTTGTATCACCTGGTGAAAGATGGTGTGTGTCAAAATACTGATAACTTGTACAAAAACCCTGTACAAATTATAATTTGTACGAAATTACAACTTGTACACAACATATATATTATAATTAAAACCGATTATACGATGGATTTTGCGAAAAAAGAGGTTTCACGGCAGTGCAATTTTCCAAAAGTCTTAATCTTTACTTATTTCAAGCATAGTATAGATTACCTCCGTTTGTGTACATTGAAGTTTTAACAATATCGTGGGCTTATTCTAAACAGATCACTTAATTATAAACACTTGAAAACAGCCCAAATCCGCAATTTTGAAAGATTTTTGATATTTATATGCCCCACCTACGATAGTAGAGAAGCAAATTATGTTTTTCGGTCTGTGCGTCCGTTCGTCCGTCTGTCCCGCTTAAGGTTAAAGTTTTTGATGAAGTTGGAGTCAAAATCAACTTGAAATAGTGTACGCATGTTTCCTATGCTATGATCTGGCTAATGTTAATGCCAAATTAGAGTTTTGACCCCAATTTCACGGTCCACTGAACATAAAAAATGATAGTGCGAGTGGGGCATCCGTGTACTATGGACACATTCTTGTTTAGTATATATCCCAATAATGTATAAAAAGAACACCATTTACATGTACCAAATCCAATGTATGTTGGAAGTAAAGGTATAAATTTTTTTATATTTCGGATACAACTGATTTATTTTGGTTAACGACGTCCTTTGATGTAACATTTTACAATAACAACATGTAGCACTGATGGCATATTGGTTATATAAAGTTATGTTAAAAAATTGAAAACTGAATGTTTATAGTATATGATATAGACTCTTTAAAATTCAATTTCTATTAGGATTAGACAACTTATAGATTTTGACCCTGTGAGTGATACAAATACAAATACTACCTCTTTAGACATACCGCTGAGTCGACGGTGTCACAATTGGTATCAAATCATACTCAGATTTTTCGGGCATATTTCTTTTTCATGGAAAATCAAAATTATGTCTATGAGCTGATAGACAAAACACTTTCAGCCATTCAGAAGACGTGTTACATCCAAAATTAAATTATAAGATTATATTAAATAGAAAGTTTTTTAAAACACTACTATGGATTTTGAGGCTTGTAAATCGGGTGCGTTCTTTTCTAGAGCCTGGGTAAAAAAAAACAAGGATTTTATTGGTATTTTGGAAGTGATATTCTTTTAAAAAACTTGATTTGGATTCATTACAACGAATGTTGCCTGGAATATAATTCCTAAGGTTTATACCTTTTGGTTTGAAATAATTTAAACTCAAGAATTAAGAACCCGTTCACACTTGGACATTTTAATTTTAGATCGATTTAAACTATATCGGTTCACTTTAGATCGATTTAAGCCCAATGTGAACGATTTGAATCGATCTTGAATCGGTCTAAACTAAAACACCAACGAGGTAGTTTAGTTTTGAATCGATCTAAAGTGAACCGAACTTACTTTAAATGTGAATGCAGAGATCGATCTAAACTAGTACGATTGAATCGAAAATAATTTGTGCGCATGTATGGCGGCAAAATTACACGCGCAATATCACCAACATAAAAGGGCTGAAAATTAACGAAAACTATACGAACAGCAGTATCAACATTTGAACATCTAATTCAAGTGCAACAACAACTTCATCCATTATTTTTTTGCAAGCGTGTGTATCAACACAATAATTTGGTTAAATATTTCTATTTTTAATCAGTGTTTACAATTTCACAGGCAATAAGTCAGATCATTTAAATTTTTACTTGTAGTGTGAACGCAGTGGTTTCGATTAGACTGATAGAGATCGTTAGGATTGAATATAATGTGAACGCTAACTGGTTTTATTTAGATCGATTCAAATTTAGATCGATTAAAAAAAACTAGTGTGAACGGGGTCTTAGACAACAAGTTGTAATTAGTGGAGAAACGTCATACACAAAGCATATATCAGCTTGGGTACCTCAAAGGTCTATCTTGGATCCCATTTTATTTTCCACATACATAAATGACATAGTAAATGATATAGAATGCGATATTCAACTTTTCGCCGAAGACCTGTCAATATATATAGTAGTTGGTAATGAATATAAAAAGAGAAAAGTTGAATAAAGATATTGAGAAGATACATATTTGGTCTTATCAATGGCTTGTCAATTTCATCCACAACAATACAGAAATAATGACCATCTAAAAAACGTCAACTTAAAACCTAATCACCCAACAGTTTATATGAATGTTGGTATTATAAGTAGAATCGCATAAACGGTAAGGGATTAATATAAATGAAAACGGAAGCTGGAGGACTCATGTAAAATTTATTATCGAAATGGCTCTCCCACGATTAGCCTTATTACGAAAACTGAAGTTTAATTTAAAAAAAGAAAGATTTAGAAAACATTTACTTATCATGTGTACGCCCAGTCTTAGAATATGCTGATATTGTCTGTAACGATAGATTTGATTAATCACCAGCTCAGGTCAACTCAATCACTAAAAAAATCGCAAAAACTAGCTCTTTACGATATATATTCGATTTATCAAGATTGAACAGCATCTGTTAACACAATAAACCCAAGTAGATTGATTACAATTGTAAAGACTCGATTGTAACAATAAATTCTATTGAGCATGATTAAACACCAACTATAAACTCAATGAAAAGTTACCAAGACTCGATCGTGACGATAGATGAAATTGATAACGTTGTTGTCACCTGTTGAACTAATCAACTCAATACAACATTGCAAAGACTTGATTGTTACGATCGGTTTAATTGATCACTTTCAACTCACTAAATTTAATAAAGAGCTGCGCCATGAGCGCATGATACGCCCGTCGCTTTTTCAAAGAATAAAGTTCCATAAATCCTTGATGGCCAAATACCCAGTTAGGTTGGTCACAATTGCACAGACTCGATTTTCACGATAGATTAAATTGTTAACCATTGAACACCAACTGTCAACATAATCAACTCATCAAAAAATTGCAAAGACTCCATCGTAACAGCTGATTACGATTGCTTATCGACTGACAAGTCAATCATCTGAATCGAACATTGCAAAGACTTCATCGTAACGGTAGATTCGATTGATCACAATTGAACGTCTAGTATTAACTCAATCAACACAATAAAAATAAACAGCTGCGCCATGAGCGCATGATACGCGCGTCAGGTTTTCAAAGAATAAAGTTCAATGACTTCTCAATGTCATATCCTAAATATAAAAAAAAAACCTAAAGGGATGTTATCTTAATAGATATAAATCAGTCACCAAAGTTTAATATAAATTGATCAAAGCACTTTAAGGATATTGTCCGAAAACTGGAAAATCCCCCTTTTTTTTTAAGAATGTAACCCCGTAACTAGTATACGTAAAATCTGAAATTAATAAAAATTGAAAAGGACCTTACGTCAATAGATATAAACAATTTCCCAAAGTTTCATGAAAACTTCTGAAAGCATTTTTGAGTTATTGTCCGAAAACTGGAAAGTCCCCCCTTTTTTAATGAATAAAACCCCATAACTAGTAAACCCAAACATAAAATTTATAAAAATCGAACGGGAACTTAAGTCAATAGATATAAACAATTCAACAAAGTTTAAGGAAAATGCTCAAAGCATTTTTGAGTTATTGTCCGAAAACTGGAAAATCGCCCTTTTTGTAATGAATAAAACCCCATAACTCAAAAACATAAAATCTAAAATTTATGAAAATCGAAAGGGAACTCATGTCAATATATATAAACAATTCACCAAAGTTTGTTGCAAATTGGTTAAAGCGTTTTTGAGTTAATGTCCGAAAACTGGAAAATCCCCCTTTTTGTTATGAATAAAACCCCAAAACTCGGAAACGTTACATCTGAAATTTATAAAAAACGAAACGGAGCTCACGTCATTATATATAAACAATTCACCAAAGTTTCATGCAAATTGGTTAAAGCGTTTTTGAATTAATGTCTGACATGTTGACGACGGACGGACAGACGTAAACGGGTGTATACAAATTGCAAAGCCTTGCTCGTAACGATAGATTCGGTTGATCAACTGGCAACTCAATCAACCCTATGAAACATGGTAAAGTCTCAATCGTTACGATAGTCTTCGAGTCCACACGTTGGCTAATTTTGTCATCTATTTTTACAAAGCTGGACACATTGTACTAATCTATCATATATTGTCAACACCTAAAAGTTAAGTATAGTATTCGCTTTGTCGCATTAATTCACTGACTTTGTTGAACAAGATGATTTAACAAGTAAAAAAATATGTATATAACGTCTAGTACTCAACGAATCCATAAATATTTCATGTTGTGTCATATCAGATTCATTATTAGCTCTTGGTAATATGATATTAAACAGTCCACCTACAATCTAATGTTCTGAACTGATATGAAACTTTCGTGCTTATTATATCTATCTTCATACTCCAGGGTCACATGCAATCTTCGGAGGTTATTTTTGTAATCAATTAAAGTGAGTTCATTTTCAAAATACGCTCAAATTTTGATACCTGATAACGATTTCATGCCGCGTGATTGTTTATTGATTATTATGAAAATTATGTAATTCTGACATACGTGCTAAAATGTTATTAGTCAGATAGGAGAGTTTGATATAAAATAAGGAGATGTGGTATGATTTCCAATGAACCAACCACCAAACAGAGTTCAAATGATGTGGATTTAAGCAACTACACCGTACGGCCTTTAACAATGAATAAAGCCCAAAAATGTGAAACAATTAAAAGTAAAAAAAAAAACAAGCGAAAAACAAATATAACAGACAACAACCAATGACAAACAATGAATCACAGGCCCCTGACTTGGGACAGTCACACATAGAATATAACTGGGCTGAAAATATCTGTGAACGCTCTACCCTCTCCGTAACCTGGGACAGTGGTACAACAACACAACATAAGAACAAACCGTAAAAATCAGTCAGAAATGGCTTGGCACGAAGCACAAAAACATATATCAAAGAAAAGACACAAAGTACTTATCTAAGAGTACTCACAGTAACTGAAAGCTCGTTCAAAGCCAATAACAATTAATACATAAACTTTGTTATCCTATACTAAGATATTAATCAGTATACATCCAAAGGATTCAGGAAATAGACGCCATAAAAATTCTGAGAAAAACATGACCGTGTGCAATGCCAAAATGTAAGTAAATAGTATCGACTCAATTCGGTTGGTATGAATTTGCAGGTAATGCAGGTTTAACATTATAAAAAAAACACTAAATCAGATTAATTAGTCGTTTGAAACGAAAGCAAGTGAACCAATCGATTGAATACGATCGATATTTCGGGAGCCTTGAAAACAAAATAATCAGTTGAATGAATACGATCGATGGGATCATGTCTTTTAAAAGCTAGAAAACCAATTTGAATCAATCAAATCTTAACCGATTAAATAAGATAGATTTGATCGCAAGTTTCGATAACAAGAGAGCCATTTGATTAAACTGATCAACTCTTTATCAATTATTACGATTGGATATGAATAGTTTGATCGATTTCTATAATATCTTAAGGGCCAATAGATCGAAATTATCAGCTCGAAGGTCCATCTTAAAGATTGAATACAACCTGAACGAGCGTGGTCCTTAAACATAAATTAATTATATTGATTGAATTGATCAACTCTTCATAACGATTGGATACGATTGACACGACCGTGCGTTTTAAAATGATTGGATTGATTCACTCTTAATCGATCATCACGATTGGATACGATTTATACGATCGCGCGTTTTAAGGGCATACGATACAGTTTTGATCCCGAAATGAAATTTTGATGAAAATTTGCATATAGGCTATTTTTTACCTGATTAAATCAAAAATGCAATAAGAAATATACCATCATGTGCTACTTTTTGAGTAAATTGAGGTTGAAATTTCAGATATTTCCTCAAAATTCGGATTTATGGACGTATTTTTCCTTTCGACAGAAATACATAACTTTTTTTTAGATAAACACAAGCTGTTTTTTGTTAAATTATGTGTAGTTTCTGTTTTATATAAATGTTCTATAAATTTTTACGTTTTATTTTTACAAATAACTCATATTTATCAAATGTTCATGAATGTAGAAAAAAAACGTCATTTTTTGCTGTATATTTATCAAATTTAAAATAAATGCACTATTGACTTTTTCATGAAAATTGGTACACATATTCTTCATACGTAATCAAACCAAATGTCATTTTAAAAAAGAAGGGTCCATGAACTCGTTTTCAAGTTAAATCAGTTTGAATGATAAAAATCAGTCGAAAACTGCATCTTTTCCCGATAAGTCACAGTTTGACGTCGCGAAAATAACAATTTACGTTAGCAACGTCATTACTTCCCCTGTAACTGTATCGTATGCCCTTAAAATGAGAAAGCCAGTCGATTGGATTGACCAACTCAACTAGTAGAGCCAGTGGATTGACTAGATAAACTCGTAATCGATCGTAACGATTGAATACGACCGATACGATCGTGTCCCTTGGAATTCAGTACAGTAAGCTGCTTAAATTGATCAACTCTTATTCTTAATTAATATTGTCTTGAAAGCAAGATAACCAGTTGATTGAATCATAGATATAATAGCGTTTATATATGTGATTGAATTAATTACACTCTTAATCGATCGGTTAAATACAGTCGATACGATCCATAGGCGGACCGGGGGGGGTGGGGGGTGGGGGGATTTGGTTGATTTTATAGGGAATCACTGAAGCATGACTGGAGCCCCCCCCCTTATGAAAAGTTCTGGATCCGCCACTGCGATCGTGTCCCATTAAACCCAGTAGAGCCAGTTGATTGAATAAATCACACTGAATCGATCGTACGGTATTGCGTTGAATAGATCAATAGATCGTGAGTCCTTACAACACGTTAGCTAGTTCTGGGACAAAATATATGTTAGTATAATAGTCCCAGGCTAGTCATATTCGATAGTATCGACTGAAAGCAATCGATACGATCGAAAGTCTTGAAACCAAGAAGAGCCAGTTGCTTGAATTGATCGATACTTATTCGATTGTGAGCCCTTAAAAAGAAGATACCAGATTGATTGAACTGATTAATTCAGTATTTTCAAGAATTAAGTAGATGATCTGAATTGAGTACATTCTATTGAAAACCTTACAACAATCGATTGATGATACCAGAGACATATATACACATATGTCTCTGATATCCTACATCGGAGTTCAGTTTGAAATACATTGACTAAATATTAGGTAAAATTTTCTCAATAATGTCTATTCAATCAAGTTCTGTACCTGTGCTTGGACTATTATACCATAGATATAATAGCCATAGATATGGCTATTATATCTATGATTATACTAACAGTTAGTATAATAGTCCTATACCTGTGTTGACGTGACAAACTGCATAAATGGATCACATGTCACGAAATATTTCACAGAGATTGTCACAGTCTTATTATCTTCATTATTTCCAAAACAGAGGCTATATCTACAGTACTACAGGAGTAAGGAGGTCTAGATAAAATGTCCTTACCTACTGTATTGCTATATTTCAGTCCCAAAATGGACAACTATTATCCGGATCTTTGTTGGATCATTTCCGATTCAAACGGGATTTTAGAATTTCTGCAATATCATGATGATCTCCCTTGAAAGCAGAAGAGAAAGTTGCATAAGTTATAACGTTGATATTGCTTTAATTCTGAGGAAAATTTAGTTTATTTTTGATGTTTAAACGAATATTTTCTAATTCTATAATCACAAGAAACGGTGATTCATTCCCATCACAAACTTCGATAGCTAATACACGAACAAGTAACTTTTTGAAATGCGGTTGTCTTGTTATTTGGCGATGTATTGCATTCCTGCATAGGAAAACTACAGGCATGACAACTCTAGAAACGTTGAATTTTGATAACTTAGCATTACGATCTCTCCCTATTGATCCAGTAACTGACAATTATGTAAGATCTGTAGCTGGGTCTTGTTTTTCAAAAGTAAAACCAACTCCAGTAGATAAACCGTCACTAGTTGCAGTTTCCAAGCCAGCATTAGACTTGCTAGGTATTCCACCACCAGAAACAAACAGGGATGATTTTGTACAATATTTCAGTGGAAATAAACTGTTACCTGGAAGTGATCCAGCAGCACACTGTTATTGTGGGCACCAGTTTGGTTATTTCTCAGGACAGCTGGGAGATGGGGCTACAATGTAAGCATTTTATTATGAACATCTTACATTCTCTTGTAAAAAGTGTCAAGGCCCTTTTTTATATATTGATAGTTAGGCTGACATGCCAGCTAGTTCAATGTATTTAGCTTGATGGCTGAATAGTCCAAGTAGTACTGCTGTATCACTAGCCTGTCAACACTGTGGCAGGTGCGCTTGACTCCAATCTTAATTGACTAGGATTGTCAGAGTTGAAGGTCTGTGATTCTCTCGTTGGACTCTGGCTTTCTCAACCAATTAAAACTGACTGCTGTGAAAAAGGCGTTAAACACCAATCAATCAATGCAATGTATTTGCAGTGTTCTTCCCAGGATTTTTTGATAGCGCTGTGGTAAGCGCGTGATTTTTGACTATTCTCAGTAACTTTGTCGTGGCACATTTGTAATGGGTTTGTTATGATGTTTTTATACAATATGCTGCTGATGTTTGCTCCTGTAATGTTGTCCTGATGGAAGTTACCCATTTGTTTGAAAATAGATGAAGAATCATTTTTTTTATCTCCATTGTAAATTCAGATAATCAAGCAAAAATAAGTACAGAAATAAATTACATGAAGGGTCAAAACTAGAGTGTTGATGTGAAGATTTCTCAACAGGTGATGCTGTAGAACATGTAGGACCCACAATCTTGTCATTGTCATTTTCTGTGTTGGGTTTTGTAACCCACTGAAGCAGTGTACTATTAACCTTACGACGTTTGACAGGAGTTGACATTTTGGAACATTATGATTTCTCATTTTTCTGATCACCATTTTATTACATTCGTATGGCTTCTCCCAAGCTGGACATCACAGGCACTTGTTTCTATCCATGGGAAGGTCGACTCTCCATATGTAATTACATATATGGATAGTTGACCTTCCCATGGATAGAAAAAAGTGCCTGTGCTGGACATCGAAAAAAGTAAATTTCTCAAGTCTAGTATCGGCTTGGGGTTTGTTTTTCTAATCATATCCTCCTAATTGTTTTCAAATGGTAAAATTCATTACTGTAGTATTGCTGATTAAAAAATTATTAATTCGATAAGGTGATAATTTATACTTCAAAGACTTGCACATTGAAGCCAATTTGATCGTTGTTTAAATTAATTGTTTAATCAAAGTTCGTAAAACAAGTTTGTGAGTATTGTCGGTAATTGGGGTCAATTCATTTCATCCTATTCCTTTCATATTTGCTTCTTTATATCATTTTTAATTAAAAAAAATGGATGATAATATTGATTTCTTTGTTTATTTTGATCTTTCAAAATAGCTATTTTGTAAAATTTATTAAACTGGTCCCGTGATGTTACTTTATACAACGCAAAAAAACACATTCAGAAATAGTAAACCAGAGGATCACGTGATCTAAGTAAAAAATAAGCCAGAAATTTAAAAAAAAAAATCGAAAAAATATAGCGATGCAATTGATTTGGATAGCGCTGTGCTCAGTTCAATAGAACAGCGGAAAGTTGCGAAAGCACTGAATACCGCAGCACTCAAAACGGCCTGGGGAGAACATTGTATTTGCTATGGGATTTAATAATACAAATGTAGATAGGTTTCAAATGACGTAATTAGAGTTCTTTCCCTGCCATTTTGGAGGGATAAATGGTTGATTTTCTTATTTGACTAACGAAATTGAAACATATGCATGCCATAAACACAAATCTGACAAGAGATCCTTCCTACACAAATGTAGCTGATAGCTTGGACTATTATACTCACCAATATGTTATGTCCAAATGATAGTGATGAATTAAGCCGAGCTTCAAGAAATATAAATTGTTCAGAGAAAAACTTGTTCTATATATAGCTAGAGGTCAGTAAATCAAGTTTGATTTGGTTGATTTATGAAGGAATTTGTGCACTTAGACCTCCAACATAGAGACAATAGGGTAGTTACTCTTTCTCAAATTTTGTCAATCAAAACCTTTTTTATATGCATGTTATTGTACATGTGTAACAGTTGTTTTCTAAAATATCTCATTTCTTTCAGTTCAAGAAAAATCTGCCCCTTTAGCAGAAGTTTATAAGGCCTGATAAATCAGTGGATTAGCTAGTATTACCTTTTAAAGGAGGCAGCTATCACCATTTTTAAATTTTCATGCCCCCACCATAGCGGTGGGGGCATTAAGTTTTACCCTTGTCTGTCTGTACGTATGAACGTACGTCCAAAAATTGGTTTCCGTTCTCTAACTTGAGTTTGCCTCAACCAAATGTTATGAAACTTATACACAATGCTTATTACCACAAAACACAGATCAAGTTTGAATTTTGGTGGCATCACTTTAACCGTTCTAAAGTTATGCCCCTTTATAAATGGAAAAACTGCAAAATTTAGATTTTCTTCTAAATATCAAGTAATTTTTATACGACCGCAAAAAAATTTGGTATGACGTTGGCGTCGTCGTCGTTGTCCGGCAACGGCGTCGTCGTCCGAAGACACATTAGTTTTCGCACTCTAACTTTAGTTTAAGTGAATGGATCTCAATGAAATTTTACCATAAGGTCCAATACCACAAAAGGAAGGTGGGGATTGATTTTGGGGGTTATGGTACCCACAGTTAAGGAATTAGGGGCCAAAAAGGGGTCAAAAATAAGCATTTTTGTAACTTCCAGACATAACTTGTGTGTAAGTGTATGGATCTCTCTGACATTGTACCACAAGGTTCCATATCACAAAGCGAATGCTGGGATTGATTTTGGGGGTAATTGCCTCCAAATTTTAGGAATTAGGGGCCAAAAAGGGGCAAAAAAACAAGCATTTTTCTAAGTTTCATGACAATAACTTGTGTGTAAGTGTATGGATCTTTATGAAATTGTACTACAAGGTTCCATATCACAAAGGGAAAGCTGGAATTGAGTTTGTGGGTAATTGCCCAAAAAGTTTAGGAATAAGGGGCCAAAAAGGGGCAAAAAAACACATTTTTCTAGTTTCCAGACAATAACTTGTGTTCAAATGTATGGATCTCTCTGAAATTGTACTGCAAGGTACCATACCACAAAGGGAAGGCTGGGATTGATTTTGGGGGTAATTCCCTCAAAATTTTAGTAATTAAGGGCCATAAAAGGGCAAAAAAACAAGCATTTTTCTAGTTTCAGGACAATAACTTGTGTGTAAGTGTATGGATCTTTATGAAATTGTACTGCAAGGTTCCATATCACAAAGGGAAAGCTGGGTTTGAGTTTGGGGGTAATTGCCCTAAACGTTTAGGAATTTGGGGCCAAAAAACAAGCATTTTTCTAGTTTCCAGACAATAACTTGTGTTCAAGTGTATGGATCTCTCTGAAATTGTACTGCAAGGTACCAAACATAAAGGGAAAGCTGGGATTGAGTTTGGGGGTTATGAATCATAAGGGGGTTCAAAAAATTTGGGGGGATTTTTTTTTCATTTTTGTTCTTTAAAATTTTCCATTTTAAATTGGTTTTTTCTGATTTATATATTAAAGCAAATAATAATGATATGGTTTGAATAGGTAAATTAAAAATTTTTAAGTTCTTAGACCACTTTCATTCTGTGTGAGAAACCTATGCTGTGTCAAATATTTAATTACAATCCAAATTCAGTGCTGTATCAAGCTTGAATGTTGTGTCCATACTTGCCCCAACTGTTCAGGGTTCGACCTCTGCGGTCGTATCAAGCTGCGCCCCAGCGGATCATTTTATTAGAATTGGAGTTATCTTCCTTTGTCCATGATAATAGTTGAATTAACTACAATCAATGCTTTATACAATGCAATGTTTAATTTTGACTTCCACTGATAAAACGCAGATCAAGTTGAATTTGGGTAGTGTCACTTTAACCATTATTGAGTTATGTCCCTTTATAAACATAAAAATTGCTGAATTTTTCGTTTCCTTTCTCTAACTTTAGTTTGTCTCAACCAAATGTTATAAAACTTATACACAACCGTTCTAGAGTTGTGCGTGTTTACAAATAGAAAAATTGCTCAATTTTTAGTTTCTGTTCTCTACTTAAGTTAGCCTCAACCAAATGTTATGAGACTTACACACAATGTTGATTACCTCAAAACTCAAATTTTGGTAGCGTCACTTTTACCATTCTTCAGTTATTTTACTTATAGCTCCCTGTACCTTTTGAGGTAGCATTTGCAGTTTATTTTTTGAGAAAAATTTGAACTTTTTACCAAATTCTTTACTTAGGCACCTGTTTTGCTATCCAGGTTAACCCTTTAACTTATTCACACTAGAATATAATTCCAATTACATCTCATGAACACCTATGAAAATATGGGCAATAATTTGGTCATATCTTTAAAGCTTTTTATCATATTTTAATCAAGTATGAATGTCATTAATTTTGTCAATTCCTTGTAGCATGTGTAGTGGTGTCCTTATGATCAATTATAATCCAAAATCAGTCTATT